CAGCGTAACTTTTTTTTAGATAGAAGAAAGCTATATAGCCGTTTGCATGCGGAAACGCTTTTTCTGCCCAAACTGTCTTAGTGGGAGTTGTAATAACCTAGTATTGCTGTTTACACTTTTTACAGAGACTATAGCAGTTTGCAGAAATGAAAGTGTATTTAGGATTTTCGTTCACTCCTACAAGGTCACACCCACTCAAGGTCGAGAGTGCTCGAGGTCATATATGTTCAAGGTCACACTTCAAGGTCACTCAGAAACTCGATGTCACTTTTCAAGGTCACTCTAACACTCAATGTCACACTTCAAGGTCACTCTAAAACTCAATGTCACACTTCAAGGTGACTCGGGAACACAAGGTCACGTTTCAAGGTCACACTTCAAGGTCACGTTTCAAGGTTGGCACCAAAGGTCAGCTCTCAAGGTCGTTTGGCAACGAATGTCGGCGCTCAAGGGCGTCCCAGAACATACAAACCCTATCTACTAATACCTCAAAAAGCATTTACTCGATTCTATTGAAATTAAACAGTGCTATTTTTTGTATTAAGAGGCTCATTTAGCCCTAAATAGATGAAAATTATTAGATCCAGTGGCGTTCCGGGGGCACCTTAGCAAATATTATTGGCAAACACATGTACGCCACTGCCTTTTTTGTAACTGTAATATTTGTTGCTTGATTAAGCATATAAAAATACAACGTCCTTGCCTCTTGTATTTTTTTCGTATCACACTTCGTTTTCGAGAAAAAAAAAATTTACCGTTACATTGCATGTCACTGGACAGAATTGGTCTATTAATTTTTATAATTTTTTTTAACAAGGAAACACCCTCTAAAATATCTCCGTCTATTTTTCGAACACCCCGTATAACTTTTGAAACCTATTGCAAAAAGCAGTGGCGCCACAAAAGAAAGCTTTCACCAAATTTTATTTTTCTAACACTTTTATCAGCAAGAAGTCAGTGAATTACGAGTAGCCTTTTTAAAGTAAGAACCAATTGCGCACCGTGAATATCAAAGGTATTGTAATTTTTGGTCATGTTTTGCTGCGGGCAAGCTCGAAAAAACTGCTGACAGGTGCTGTGTTACTAATTTTTCCATCTAGAAACTATTTGTAATCCAAAATTGCACGTTTGTAACTGGTAGAAATGAATATGAGGGAAATAGTCGATATGAAAACCACAGGATGTATATTGCTCAATAAACTAGTAATGATGGCCGGAGAACAGGTGTTTTGGGATAAACAACTAGAAATTCTCAAAAAACTACCTGACCCATATAATCTAATTTTTTTGTTGTTATTTAGAAGTATGAATCCTACGGATTTGAGGAATTTCAATTAGTTGCGTGAAATTATCGTCGCATTACCAACAAGTGCCAAAACCTGCATTTTGCCTCGTTTTTCGGCCATAACATTTTTCCTACTAGCCGGGTCTTTTTACGTGTAATTTCATTTTGTAGATTTTATAAATACGTAAGAATCTTATATGAAAAGTTTTTTATTTCCTGTCAATACTTTCGATTGAATCCCAAAAACACATTTTCTCATTCTTTGTTGTCAAATAAAAAGTTTTCCGACAAAAATTGGTGTACCCATTTTATGTGTCCATGCTTTAAATACCCCCTTGAACAACTTGCACCAATAAAACCAGACCTTACAATTATTTCGGACTAGACTAAATGAAGATTTTTTAACACACATGTGGTTTAGATTGGCCAGAGAACTGTGGGGGGTTATCATGAGTGCATCTAATTCAAGAAGCACGAGTGCTAGTGGCAACAAAAATCCGAGTTGAGAACCAGGATTGTTGCAACTGCACACATGTTTTTTGTTAAAAAAATATTACTTTGCACTGTTTTTCCGATTTTTTTCAGGAAAAAACTAGATGCCCGAATGGTATTTGACAAGATTATTTCATGAGTAACAGATTATTCTGCTTACACATAACTTACAAAATATACTACCATTGTTTAGCGTCATTTTCTGGTGTCCTAGGGAAAACCATAAAAATGCTCATATTTTAGTTTATGATACAATTTGCATTCCCACCACGGATTTATCGAAAAAGATTTGACAAGGGTTTCAACTTTTTAAGCAAAAACTAACTACTTCACCTTTATAATTTAAAACGGTAGCTACCAACAACGTGATTTTTTTCGGGGCGAACTGCTTTTATTGGCATACCTGTTTAGTTATTTGTTGCTAAGGAAAAGAATGAATTCAATTTGCTGTCATTTACCTTTGTGACAGTCTTGGGATAGTGAAAATTAATTTATTGATTCAGAATTTACTTCCAAATTGTGTTCTATAACTTAATATACAATCGTTTATGTATTATTTATGTTTAAGTCTTCTAAAATAGCCCTTATGTCCGTTCATGGTTGTAGCACTCCTAGTTCACAAAAAACTGGAAACACTAAGAACGTACACTACTCAAAAAAATTAAGGAAGCAAGAAAAAAAAATTCAGTAACTTTTGACTGGTTGTTCTTCGATGAGAAATGGTCGTAATTAGACGTCGAAAAAAGCATTAAGATTCTAGTTTTCAGGTGTTTTAGGCGACAAATTTTAGGAGCAAAGTAACAGCGCAAGGAAGAATTTACGGTCTTCAAAAAACGGTTTCTTCGGACCTATTGGTCGAAGTTTGAAAGAAATCAAACGAGCAAAATTTTTGTATCAAAACATCCTCTAATCTGGTTGAACATGGAAAAATCAATTTTTCATCTTCTGTTGTCACTATTGGATATCTGTAATACCTTCAATTTTGAAAATAGCAATTAAAAAAAATGTTGTGTATCCATGGAATATTCCAAAAAAACAAAAATATTAACCAGCGGCGGATCTAGAAAATGTTCAGCCGAAATGAATAGGATCCGGCAATGAATTTGCATCATTTTCAAACTTTAAGCAATCAATCCGGAGAAACCGTACAATGGATCGATCTGCCGTCGTTATTAGTTGTACATTGAGGTGGTACAAACCATTAACATAATTCTCTAGAGCATCATATTGCTCAATAATTCTACTTACAGCGGAAATCAGTGACAGCCAACTGGTCTGTGATGCATGCAATAATTTGTGGGGTTTGATGTTAAAAAATGTTTGAAATTCCGAAAATCTTTTAAAACTGCGATGCATATAATTGTATACGTTCCTTACCAACTTTTGGTTGCATTTCTATATTTTTTCATTGTATTTTTCATTTCTTTTTTGCCACAAACCTTTCAAAAAATCACTAGAAATATGACTTTAACAAAAGTTTTCACTAAATCACAAAACTTGTTCAAAAATCACTAGATCTAGTGAAATTTCACTGTACCTGGCAACATTGACCCGCAGCACTACTGCAGCGTGCTGTAGGCTAACAGCCGTTGTAGGTTGCAGCGCCACTGTCAACCCAGTGTTTTGTACTTGAATGAATGGTTGTCGTCCTCGATCATTTATTCTCTCTGAGATTCCTTATGTTCTATAATTATTTTATTTTCGTATAGGCTTGAGACATACGACTCTTTTCTCTGAGCTCTCTCATTTCGTTCATCTCTCTTCACTGAGACGTTCATTTGAACGATAGGATTACCGACCGGCCTCGAAGCTGACGAGAGTATTGTGTTGCCTATAGTAACGACTCACTGAGTCAGAGAATATACATCCACACACACACCACAACGCGCAGCCGCAATATCAAAACATAAGACATACAAGAGCCCGATCGTGCCATGTGGCGAACGTTGGACACATGACACATGCAATCTGTCAGCGCCCTCCCACACGATGTGGCGAATGGCGATGTGTCCAACGTTATAAGGCATTTGCCACATCGTGTGGGACCGGTTAAGCACAAACATTACAGCACAGAGCATCTACTTAAAGATTGACGCGTAGAAGTCTGGAAGCTGGATAGATTCGCATCCTCCATTATATTTCTAGTCAATTAACCAAAACCATACAAGGTTAATATCTAGTTCACATGTTGATCTGTGCTGGAATTTGTGTTCTGTGACTGGAACATTTATCTTGTCACGGTGTATATGTTTTGTGGTGTAGTAAATGAATGAAATTCAAGCGGATAACCAAATGAAAATGGTATTTACCATTTTGGGTTGGTATTTACCGATCCGTTCAAGCGAGTGTGGTTATCAGCTTGGTTATAAGATCCGTGACGTCATGAATCAGCTGTTATATGTCATAGTTATCACCGCAAAATTGTGGTATTTAGATTTACCCAACTCGGGAGTAGTTTTATATTTCTGGTTATTATTTGAAATGTGACAAGTTTGAATTTTGCCAGGTATTGGATATTGTTATTGCACTTCAGCTTCATTTTTGGGAAACTTAATACAGGCTGACTTCAGTTTTACCATTAGGTGGATCACCTTATTAGTTATACTCATTACTGTTGTTGGGGGCACTTTAAATGTAGTTCCTAAGCTTAACAAAGTATCCTGTGTAGCCATATACCACAAGAATATTAAAATATGGCCATATAACCTCACTAGATGATGTCCACCTGTATACGGTTTTGCTAATTTCTTTTTTCATCATTTCTGCTGAATCAATAAATGTTTTCTTTGACATGCGGAAAAATTTAGAGAATTGAAAGTTATCATAGCTATAAAGTCATGGTTCCATCATTAAAAAAAAAATCTGAAAAAACATTTCTCCCATGAATATTATGAAAGGTTTCTTATTTAAACTTTCCATATACAGTTGTAGACGAAAAAGCACCGATTATTAAGTGATAATAAAAATAATCAGAGATTATATACGCGCTTTTCTAAAATAAACAACTTGCAACAAAACCGCGGTTAAAACCAACGCGTTCAAGCGATTCGTGTGACTGACGTCATCAACCCCTGTGTCATCTTGAACCATATTATAACCGCGGCACATAACACAGAAATTTTGGTTATTCGCATGGATTTGATTATTATCATGATAAACCAACATATGTCACTTGTCAAGTTACGTAATACCTCTGCCGTTCATTGCTAATGTCAAAAAGTTCTGTCATTTCTATGTCAACCAGAAGAATTTGCATCTGGGACAAGTTAAAGTCCGCATGGCAGTTACAATCTGGTTCACAATTACTATCGCGGTCCCTTGTGTCGTTCCGTGTACTGTGCTTTTAGTTAGAGGGATTTGCCGGGTTTGTGTTTTATGATTGTTACTTTTATAATGGCGATTTCTGTCTTTTGTGGTATTCTTTTGCACGTGTAATCATTTATAATTTTCCATTTGCATCAGATCAAAAAGGACAAGAAAGTAGTCCATAGTGTGAGCTTTTTACTTTTCCTGTGTTTTCTTGCGTGCCATTAGTGTTTTTGGACATAAAAGTGACATGATTCTAATCGTTATCTTTAGGGAGGCGCCAGCTTAATTCGTATTCCGTTCGTAAGGTAAATATGGCTTGATGAAGTGCTATAGCTAAGAACTGCAATATTCATTAAGTAAACACTACTTGTTATCGTTAATGCTCTATTTTATATCTTGAAGTACATTTTATCGATTTATGTTTTGTAGGAAGCTATCGCCGCCATTTTGTAATCATTACAACAAACAGAGGAGTAGGTATTTCTTTACAAAAATTTAGCATTGTTCTAAAATGTTCAATTTTGAAATGATTTACACATAGACTCTCATTCAAAAAGTAGCAATTTTTATGTTTTCAGATTCAGCTTCTACAATGGAGCACCTGAATTCCCAGTTACTGGAGAAGACTCTGAATTTTCATGGCCAGCAGTTGCAGAAGCTTTGGGAAGGAGAATTCGGCGAGAATGATTTAGCTCGTAGAAATATCAAAGACTTAAGCTTTAACATCTATGGACAAAGACAAAAGCATCTGCCCTTCCAGGACCGAGGAAAGCGCCTCAAGTTGCAACAGTTTATCATCAAGAAGGCAAATACACTGTTCAATTTAGAACCATCCAAGCTAAAGCAAACAAATGAACTTGTTTCTGAAGATCTGTATGCCATAATGCCTCCATTTGAGACATACAGTAATGTTGATAAGCAGAAACGTTTACAATTTTTCATGACTGTAAGTTTCCTTCACTGCACGTTTCAGAGAAGGCATTTTATCAAACTCTTCACAATTAAAACCAGATGTAGGAACTGTGTGTGTTTGAAATTTGTGATTTTTAAACCATCTTGCCAAATTGTAGATATACAGGGTTATCCAAATTAAGTGTCCACCATTAGTAACTTTGTTATTAGTGAAAATACAAAGTTGTTTGAATTAGCAAACTAGTAGCATTTTTAACGATGGTAAAAATGAGAAATAAAAAAAACAATTGAGAGTCGTTATTTTGATTTTTTTCAGTAAAATAACATTTTTTTAAATGGAAACCCCTGTATATTATATTTTTTTCTGTTAAAGCATCAAATTTTAAACAAAAAAGCTTACAATAACTTTTCTCCTAGGTTACAAATTGTTGAAGTTATGGCCTCCAATCTGAAACAATTAAATTGTATCGACAAACTTTATTTTCAACATCAACTTATAATCTTACAAAATACAATAACAATTTTTTTTAAAGAAGATGCTCGAAAACACCACCTTGTTCTTCAATACATTTTTGGGCACGTTTTTCAACTGCTCGAACTGTCTTAAGTATGGTCCTGCCATCTATCTGGGTTATCTTTTCCCTAACTGCAGTCTTTAACGCGTCAAGGTTATCGTACCTTCGCTTGTAAATTTGGTTCTTTAAGTAACCCCACAAGAAGTAATCAAGTGGGTTTAGATCTGGTGATCTGGGAGGCCACTGTATTGGGCCATTTGTTCCTATCCACTGATCATTAAAAGTAGTACTTAGAAAATGATAAGTACCTCTGGAGTTGTGGGCAGGTGCGCCATCTTGCTGAAAATGCAGATGATGTCTACTTATAAGATCCAATTCGTCTAAGAAATTAGTCAGAATTTCTGACATAAATTCCACATATCTTTCACCAGTTAGGGTTCCCTCATAAAAGAACGGGCCAACAATTTTTGAACCAATTATACCGCACCAAACGTTGAAACTGAAACGGACTTGTGGGCCTCTTGGATGTACTAACAAAAGATTTTCTCTTGACCAATAATGGTGGTTTTTTCTATTAAACATTCCAGAATTTGAAAAATTTGATTCATCTGTCCATAAAAGGTAACGAAAGTTATTTACATTTTGGCGACAGAAGCTAAGATACCAATGGCAAAAAACAAGTCTTCTCTCTGGATCCCCTGCCAAAAGCGTTTGAACTGGTCGGTACTTATACGGAATAAATTTGTATTTTTTTAAAATCCTTTGAACAGTACCATAACTGAAATTAGAGTCCTTGAGAATATCTGCTATTGAATTCTCACGATAAGCATCAAAATATCCAATAACTGCAATTTCCGTGGCCTCGCTTATTATGAATTCTTTTTTTGCCCTTGTTTTAGCAAAAACATTTTCGTTGCCCCTAAATTTTCGATAAAGTCTCAGAAAATATCGTTCATACGGTTGAATGCGAGCGGGATATAATTCACTGTAGTATTCTCTTGCTCTCAAGGAGGATTTTCTGCACACTAAATAGCATTCTAACATATCACACTTTTCTTCATGGGAGAACATTTTTCTTTAAATTAATGACACAATAAAGCTTATAAACAAGTATTTACACTAATGTTTGACATTATTTGATTTTATCATTGTTTTCCAAAGCCTTCTAGTTGCGAGTATGTCCAGTTTAACAATTTGTCGCTTATCTTAATGCTGTCAAATCGCGAACGCCATGTTGTTTTCATAGCCGTCTTAATATTATAATACTGCAAATAATTAAAAATATTTATCGTTATTTTGACTTTATTTTTGACTTTAGCGGAAAAGTCATTATGAACATTTTTGTTTAAAATTTGATGCTTTAACAGAAAAAAATATAATATACAGGGGTTTCCATTTAAAAAATGTTATTTTACTGAAAAAAATCAAAATAACGACTCTCAATTGTTTTTTTTTATTTCTCATTTTTACCAGCGTTAAAAGTGCTACTAGTTTGCTAATTCAAACAACTTTGTATTTTCACTAATAACAAAGTTACTAATGGTGGACACTTAATTTGGATAACCCTGTATATATATATATATATATATATATATATATAAATTTTTGCATCAACATCTGAAGGTTGTGACAAGAGCTATTGCACATTGAGAATCAATTGTTATATCTTATGGAGATAATCAAATTCAGCAACATTTATAAATTTAATCATTCAATGTATGATTTTGAAAATTATTTTTTAACTAATGTCTTACCTATTCTGTCCAGAAAATTAAAGTTAATCTTGTAACTGCAAGTAGGTGTTATGATTGGCAATATTTTGTTTCAGCATGTCTCATAGTTTTTGAGATTTTAGGCATTTATTTGGTGGACGGTTGGCCAGCATTTAGTTATTCTTGTGCTATTTCTACAGATATTAATTTCCCTTTATTGGACTTGAGGATTTCATCCCATTCATGCAAAATGGCCAAAACTAGGGCTGCCATTGCCTTAATTACTAATGCTGGACAAGAGACCCCAAGATATTATGGAAAAAATTTTATAATGAAAACATTCCCATTTTCAATTTTTTTTATTAATTAAATTAAAAAAAATAAAATCTCAAACTGGCAGCATAACAAATGAAATACCGAAGTCATTACTAATATTCTTCTGATGTAATCTGTTAACAAAAATAATTAGGATCACTTTTCTTTGTGGCATCAAATTACAAACAAATCATAATTATGATTTTTGAAACTGTAAATAATGTGCTCGTAGAGGTGATGCAGGATTTTGTACTGGGGTGTACGACAAAATATTTATTTTTATTTATTTATTATTACATTTGATAAGATTTCTTTAGAAGGTGTCCAGGGCATCTCTGGACACTTTTTGAAAACTCCCTTTGGGCAACTATACCTCTAAACTAGGCCAAATCTGGGGAATCTAAAAAAATTATTTTGAAGTCAATGTATACTGATTGATTTTGGCTTTGACATGCTGTAGTGTGAAAAAATCACTGGCAAAAAGGGTTGATTGATTTCAATTGAAGTGTTCAGTGCAAAAACCTTGTAAGTCCATCAGTTGAATTATGACAGTAAAAACAGTGTCACTGACAAATAAATCAAATTTAAAGGATTTTTTGTCCCAATGTTGTATTTGAGTTCTGAGAGATCGTAATGTCAGAAACCTGAAAAACTGTTATGGCATTGTTTTTGAGGAAATTGTGTTAGTCATATACAACTTGAAGCAAAAGAACATTGGTTAATATCATATTTGCATTGCTGGGAAATTAACTTACACCTATGGGTATATAAGGTTACAGATTATATATATATTGCTGGGAAAGTTGAATTTGAAAAATACACATATGTCCAGCTATTTAGGATATTGTGTAATTTTAGTCATACAAATGAGAATTGAGTAAATGGTTTTTGTAGGCGACAAAAAAATACTTGAAATAGCGATTTAGGGCAAAGCCTGTAATCTTATTTTCGAAGTTAGTGTAGTAAAAATTTAATTTTTGGTGCATATAGCACAAATATGAAAAAACAATACAGGTTTACTGGTACCATTTTTGAAATGACCCATTCAAGTACCTGTCATTGAGTAGTCCATGCAAAAACCATGTAAGGCATGGATTATGTTGCTGAATATGTATTATGTGGTGTTTATGATGAGGAAGGAATGTAGTGACTTAAGAGGTGAACATCTAGAATATGCACCTACCTTCAGTGAAGCATTTTTATTTATTTATCAACGAGCAACTGCCCAATTAAAGTACAGCATAGAAAATTAATGTAAACCTAACACTACTTTGACTTAGATATTTAACACTTAAAACAGTTACAAACTCTTTACAATCCAGATCATTTCTAAATTGAAACAGATTTAATTAAAATTTAAATATATGAGGAAAGTAAATATTACAGACAGGAATCCAATTGAATTTTGAATGTTTTCTGACTTCTGAAGAAATCCAACTTATTAGAATACTGATTTGCTAACCTTGAAGATCTAGACAGGAAGGAATTACTAGTATAATTAGTATGAAATGACCTCATGGAATGGTTGATTCAGTCTTGTTTGATGAGAAGGCACATGGAGATTAATATTTTTCAAAAGTTCTGGAGCAAAACTGAGAGAGTGCAAAATATTATAAAATAGTGACAGGTCCCTCTGATTCCGTCTTGCCTGAAGGGTTGAGATATTGAGATAGCTTTCAATGATGGAATAGATAATATCTTCAACCATGTTTTGTTTGAATGAAATGCATCTTAAGAATTTGTGTTGCACTCTCTCAATTGCCTGAATATGAACATTATAGTTGGGTGACCAAACACAAGAGCAATACTCCAAATGAGGCCTCACCAAAGAACAAAACAACGTTTTAAATCTTTAGCACAGGATTTTATAAATCTCAACAGTTGAAGAGATTTAGAAACAATCATATTTATATGACTAATAAAGGATAATTTTGGGTCAAGAATTACCCCTAAATCCCTAACATGGGATACACTCTTTAGAGGACAACCTTTCATGGTATAAGTATGATCAATGGGGTCCCTGTTTTAATAAAAAAAAAAACATGATGATAAAAATGGACTTGCAGGCTTTTCAAACTGATTCAATTTGTAAAAGTGTAATATCACATCTTGTAATTTTCCAGTCAAGTTTTACAAATGTCCAAAAATTGTCCTTTACATAAAATCCAGAGTATTTGAGCAAAATGGCTACCAGGATTTTGTCGTACATGCCTCACACTTTTTCCAAAAACATCTGTCCATCAGAGCTAATTCAGTTTTGGGTATCAATTTGGTTATGGTGATTAGTTGTAAACTTGACAAAAAAGTTTGCTGAATCACATGGAGCGATCTTAGAGGCCTTGGCAAATTGCTGTGGCGCCGGATCCGCCTTATAATAGTGTGATTAAAGATGGTTTCTACCTGACAAATATGGTATGCCATCACATTGTAACCAATTGTTTCCAGTGTTGGCCTTACTGAAACATTCAACTTGGAGGTGTGAATAATCCAGATACATCCCTTACTGTTATTGTATGGAGGTTATCATTTGCCACAAAGATTGCTGGGTATGTATCCAATAAATTATTTTGTGAGGTTATTGAAGCAATCTGGAGCATGCTGAGGGGTGTATTTAGCCGAGTATCATAGGCCTGGGAGAAAGGCTGCAAGGGGTGGCTCATACCTCCTCAATCAAAAGTGTTTGCTTCTTCCTCTTCCTGCATGTGGCAGCTAACCGTAAGAGGTTCATCGAAATTTAAACTTTGAAATTATTCTGATCAGGATATCTATCTATTTTAAGTAAAAATTTATGCGGTTTGAGTCGAAATACTTAATTGTCAGTGTTTAAAAACAATCGCAGTACATAGAAATTGGTATTTGTAAAAATGACACAAGATTAGCTGAACACATATCAGTTTACCATCAAAAAATTGCTGGAGATTTCAGAAAGCCGAGACTTTTACTAAATGTTTTCCATATAGTACGTCATAACGTGAACTATTCTGACTGCAGACTTATTCATTTTCTGAATGCCTAGAATTTTGAAGAACGCCACAAAAGATTTCACCTATCTATCATCTGAGTTAGTTCATAATGACCTTTGTCTTTTGCACTATGCATAGTGGAGTATACCCAGGATATACACTAAAGAAAAAATTTTTTTAATGCCTTTTCAATCTGAAATTCATACAATTGCAAAGAGAAGATCACAAATGATCTGATGGATGTGTTTTACAGAGTTTGAAAATAGGCTACCTTATCCTGGGTACTATTGTGAGCAAGCAGCAGTCTGGGATGATGTTGAAGGTCTTGTATGCTGTAGGGCCTGATGGAAGTATGCTGTATGCTGCTGACATCAATGTTAAGGTATGATATCATAACTCAGCCTGGTAGATGTGATCTGATTAAAAATGATTGTGGACATGGTAAAGCCAGTGTCTGTTACTAGAGATGGCATAAAAAGAAGTCACTTGTTTTTAACCCAATCAGATAAATATGATTGATCACAAAAATGTTGCTATACATGTAAAATATGTTATTTAAAAAAATGTAACTTTTACTAAATTTATTTCCTGACATTAATTCTGTTTTCATTGAAATTTTTCAGGCTTTCTGTCCAGTAGCGAACATAATACCAGCTGTTGACAAAAAAGGCGTGACTCGTAGCTACATGATGAACGATTATGTGTGCTGTGAAGTGCTCGAAATCATTGCCGATACTGACAAAGTCGTTTGCGGCATGAAAGGAGTCACAAGACAGCCCTCTGATGTGGATACCCTGCATCGATTCGGCCTAGTCAGTACCGACGATTTCCCCATAGTTTACAAGTAAGTGTAACTTAGTCAAACCCTCCACCATATATGATAAACATTTTCTACTTTGAGGTGTTTCATTTTCAGTTTCCATCACAATGCATATGTTTTTGTGTGGTAGTAGTCCCAACACTTTGCAACTGCACCTGCAAATATTGCAAAAGCTCAACAGGCATATGAAATATGTTCAATGACTTATTATTGGGAGAGTAGTTGTAATTCTTTTTAGAAAAAAAGTGTTTTATACAGAATTTGCGTATGTAATTGAACACAATTTGATGATCCTTGTCCTTGGAATTTGATGGTTGAATCTTTCAAATGACACTCATGGTCATGGACAAGTGCATTTGAAGGTCATCATCTGTGGCTTTTATGTGGGTATTTTAAAATCATGTCTTCATCTGCTTATGTTAAATGTTAAAGGGATTCAGCTTGAGATTCTGTTGTTAAGATATTAGCTAACATTGTCACTACCATGTTTATGTTAACCATCTTTTAGCAAGGAGTCATTGTTTTTATGTAACCACATGATTGTGGATCTTTGCGCCCCGACGTTTTGATGTATGCTGACTGTACTGTAAAGCTTGGCATGAATCTTATCGAACTCATTATACTGTAAGGATAAAAATTGTAGTTTGCCTGTTTATTAACAACTGTGTAAGAAAAAAGAAGAGGATAACTAAAATTAATTTATGCCACCACGGGATTGATGACTGGAGTTTTTGAAGATCACAGTGAAGTATTTCTGATTTGCCGATTTTTTCCTAAATATATGGAAATCAGTGCTATGGGTATAATCAGTAGCCTATTCTCTATAAATGGAATTTTACTTTAAGTGTATTCATCAGATTTAATAATGCATTTTTGACTCAGTTCTTTAATGAAACAAAAACATACAAACTTTGTTAAACACATATGGGTAGCTTAAATATCTTGAAAAACATCACAATTGGTACATTATTAAAATTGATATAAAATAACAGTTCAAGTAAATGCTATTCTAAAAGAATTTTGGAATGAGCTCCACAAATGCATTTATGAACATTGAAGGCTTTTTAGATCCAAGAGAATGTACAATCAAAAACACCTTGAAACCAAGAAAATATAAGAAATGTGTATTTGGAAATATGTGTCTGTATGACCTCAGAAAATGACGTGCCCATATGGAAAACAGATGACAGAATACTGCTAGGAGTTCTATGTTTATAATTTGGAACCACGGAGAAAATACTACAGATGAATTTTGATTTCTGGTCTACTAAGCCGTAAATGAGCCAGTGTATTTGTGGTGTTTACTTGTACCAAATATATCATATTGGCTTGCTATGCCATAGAGAAAATGTTTTACTTCCAGTTTTGACGCGATCAGAAAGGAATTGAATTTATGAATATGATAGGGCACTTATTGAGCTAGTGTATCTAAACTGTTTTCTTTTCTTTTTAGAAAATCAGTCTTGAAATACAAAAATATCAATTTTCCCAAAAACACAGCAAAGAAAAATATCAGTGACCGATTTTGGCAGCAGGTGGCACTTGTGTGCTATCTACTTCTAAAGAAAAATATATCACATATCAATAAATATCGCAAAGAAACGTGCTTGTACACGCACAATTGTGTTCGTCCGAAACTCGCACTATCTATGCTAAAATAAAACGCTGATTACTGTATACAGGTGAGGACCATGCATTTTTGATACTGTGTTGAATGTATTTCAGCATACACCATCTTTTTTGCATCCTGTTTATAATTATGTCTTTCGCAGTACGATGCCCGAATTAAAAGTAAGATATGAGGACATTAAGAAATGATTTTAAGTTTTCTGTTATATACAAAATGCCTAAAAAGGAGATCCTCTCTATGTGTAGACACAAATTTTACCCTAAAATGTTTAAAACAGCAGGATCAACGCTGGCATCGACGATAACTTGAATGGTATGTATGATAAATCTTAAGGGTGCCCATTTTTAGGAAATTTTGTGAAAATGTAATATGTATGTGACCTGAACACATGGGCCTAAGAATAAACAACGAGAAGCGTGTCCCAGATAGAGAATATTTTACAATTTTAGATTGTATTGGCAATTTGTTTACATAAAATACTATTGGACAGGACGTAAACCCCCATTTGCTATATGTTGGACCACTTTACACCATCGCCATTTTCTAGAAGAAGCACCAATCAACATCAGCTGGAAGTTGTGACTTCATATTGACGCGAGCTCAGATTGCTGACTCAATCCAGAATTGTAAATTTTCTCAATGGCAATGCTTCCGAAGGTATTCAGGAGAAATACGATCCGCTGAAATGAATTTTTTCCAGGTATTTCTGTAATTCCAGGTATAATGTTCCTCATTTAAGAAAAATTGATGCAATATTGTTCTCTAAGCAGTTCTAATGGTAGCTGTATTTTCCTGCTTACAGAAAAGCGTTGGATTACAAGAATGAAAGTTACGACAGTGTTTTAGAGAAGAGCATTGGGTTCAATAACCCAAATAACATTCAGTATCTTTCTGAACAAATGGACATCAATGACCATAACAGCCTTATGGAAGGTTTGAAGTAAGTATTGCTAGTAACAATTACTATAACTCAAAATAATAGTCCAGCTGCCGATCATCATAAGCAAAAGCTACGAGCATATACAAAGAGCCAATGCTTTGCCCTTAACCTACTTGAAATAAAGCTAGTTTTTATTTATATTTTCTTATTTATTAATTTCGATTTTCCTTAATAATCCATAATAACTGCGTCTACTGTAAATATCAGATGTTAATCACTCGAAATAATTTTGAGGTAAATGTTCTTTAATCATGGTAATACTGTCAAATTGCTGAGGGTCAGATATTGCGAATGCGGTTTATTTGTTTGTACCCATTACTCAGCCTGGTAAAAGTCTCAACTTATATACCTTTCACCACACTCTCCTGAAATGTCTTCCAAAACATTAACACACCATCAAAATATGCTAAGGTTTCAGCATATTTTCGCTAGAATCCAATGCTTGATTTGGACGATCATCTAGTAAATGTGGACCCTCTCCATCTTCTCCATTAGACTGTTCAGTGTATTTGTATAGTTTATTTTTTATATACAAGGTGTTACTGCTCCATGTTTTTTTGTAGCTATTTAATCTTCAATCACATTTTAGCCTGGCGTAATACCAAACAAATAATTAAAACCGGCAACCAATATCAACAAATCGCTGAACCTTTACTTATACTGAAGGCAATCTAGGTTTAGTCCTTGAATTGGTCCTATCATGGACATCAAGCAGTTTTAATTAGTGTTTTTTGGTGATATCCAAAATGCATTTTTCTGAAATTTGGCAGCACGGGAGCTAAAGTTATCTACCTTCAACAAAAATGTGGGTGTTAAATGGATAGGAAGCCTTGAATACAAAGCTTCCTAATACGACGGAAAGATCTGTTATACAAATTCTACTAACAATGTATATACTTAAATATTAAACTGATTCAACATTTTCGATTATCTCACAACAAATTGTTCGGTCGCATAATTCTTTTGTGTGGTGCATTAATTTCACGAAAATGTAAATCAAGTTTGAGAATAAGACCTTTCAAAAACTAAAATATAATACTATTGCTCTTAGTAACCTAAATGAACCAGCGCTGATCGCTTCACCGAGTAGTCGTTATTCGAATCTACCCGGCACTCGGACTTTTTGAAACAGTGTATTCGGTGCAAGTCATGAATATACAATTTTCTTGCCGCTTAGTGTTGGGCATCTTTGTAACCATCTTGTTTTGCCCATAGGTCTCGTTTTCCGGAGAATGAATACGCCCACGAACTGCGTCAAGTCCAAGCCAGCAAATGGGCGTATCGCAACGTAGCCGACGGTATAGACCATTTCAAGGCCGGCAAGCATGTCGAGGCGTTCCAGTGCTTAAACAAAGCTCTGAACATCGATCCCAAGAACGTGGAAGGCCTGGTTGCCAGAGGTGCTTTGTACGCTAACAGTGGGAATTTCCAAAAGGCTATCGAGGATTTCGAGACGGCGCTTAAGCTAAACCCCAGTCATGCGAATGCTAGGAAGTATATGGGAGAGACACTTGTAGCATTAGGTAAGAGCAGATCACCAAATATGACATACAGTTTAACAAGCTGTAAAAAACACAAGTGCACTATAAAAATAAAAAGCTTGTTTTTTAACCCATTTCATCAAAGCTGTTTCACTTTCCTACATAATCCCTAACAACTAGCACTAGCACTAGTTTGGTGCTCCAGCATTCCAGTGGCCTTCCAGTAAAAATTTACAACATACCTTGGATTATCCAATACAAAAATTTGATACAGTGGATCAGAAATTTTGAATGTAGTATTCTTAAAACCAATTTCAGGTAGGAGTTATGAAGAGGAAAATAAAATCGAAGAGGCCAGGAAGGCTTATCAAAGCTGCTTGACCATCATTCCCTATCATGAAGAGGCGCAAAACTCTCTGGAATTTCTCAAAAATAAATCCCAAACTAAAAATCTGATCGAACCAAATGAACTGCTTCTCCCAAATCTTGGAACAAACAAACCAACAGACGTTAATGACGCCCTGAAGCAATTGTTGAAAAATGAAGATGAAGAGAAGAAAGACAAAAAGAAAAAGAAGAAAAACAAGAAACGCAAAAACAGAAAAAGATCAAGTTCCAGTTCAAGTTCTAGCTCATCTGGTAGTAACGACTCTTCCAGCAGTTCATCATCTAGTAGCAGTGATTCCAGTTCTTCTTCTGGCGATTCTGACTTCAAGAAGAAAAAGAAACATCGTTCTAGATCACAGAGGTAAATTTTGTACATAAGGCTCGGCATAAGTAGTACATATAATAACGTGTTGCACATTGTTGATATGAAGATACCACGAGCGCAGCGGCGATGTAGCTTTTCTGTATATACTGTTTATGAGCATTTGTCTTTATCTGTAATATTAACTTTAAAATTTTATTTTGTAGACGCGACAAGAGGGAGAACTCTCTGAGCCCTCTCAGCAAGCGTATGGCTTTGATGGATCAGAGTCAAGACACTCCCTCAAACTTCAACTTCAGCAAACCTACGGCTGCACCAAGTTCTTTCGACTTCAGTTTTGAACAGCCTGAACAACCTCACAAACAACAGACAGAGAATGATTACGAGGCGAAAGTTAGAGCCTTTTTAGCTGAGACCAAAGGGGATTCAGACTATGAAGAGAAAGGTGTGGACAAATCTTCTATTTGTTTATTAATGTTATATTGGGACTTGACATTTTTTGTATTTTATATTAATCAACCTTTTGTTCGAATCAGTCGATCAATATAGGAGCCGACGGACGTGTCACAAGCAAATTTTTAGGCTGTATGCCAGAATATAAATTCATATCATAGCATGCTGCCTATGTTTGACCCTCCAGATAAAAGTGTATAAATCATCTTTAGATTAGACTTTTTACTGTCTTCGGATGCATACAATTTTGTAACACTAATATAACCTTCACATATTGGATTTAATGAAAGAAGTTTTCCGAAAAAAGAAATAGTGTCAAGTACATTGACTGTGTACTTCCCACATTCATATATATATTTATATATCTATTTTCCTTTTTTCTGTAGAGAAACATTGAAAATCCTTGTTGCGCAAGTGCTTCTTATCATTATTTTATCCCCTGTTAAAGAATCAAAATTTTTGAGCTTGGTAGTGTTTTTGCCTACACACTAACCTGAAATAATCAGGAATGAGATCATATTTTCAAATTCTGTTTAAAATGATATCCTCCTAAAAGTTGTAAAGCATGCAAAAACAAACAGACCCAGCCTGCTGCTTTCATATAAATTTCTGGATTAGTTTCGGAGAACTTGAAAATAATGCTAACCTTCGAACCGACAGGCAGACCGACGGAAATAAGTGATATTGATTTACGTCTTGTAGACATCGCAAAACATAAAGAATCTTTTTAATTGAATGTCAACCATTTTATTGTTTTATAAATATTGATAAATTGTATTAAAAAGACATTCCTGACTTGAGTATATCTCTCATTTTCTGTGTTATTGTATATAATATTTCATCAAAATACTTCAGTTACAATTTATAAATCTTATTTTTATCCAGGAGCTTATATTGTGTGGACCCTAATTTTTTCCATAATTTTCAGTGAGAAAGTTCTTGGAGGAGAGCAACAAGTGGAAAAAGAAGGGCGAGGATAAAAAGAAGAAAAAGAAGAAAGAAAAGAAGAACAAGAAGGAAAGTAAGAAAAAGAAGAAGAAGGAAAAGTTGAAGCGTGTCAAGAACGTTTTTGAATTGGGCGATTTGGACGATCATAAGAAATTGAGAGCTGCAATCAAGAAAGAGTTGAGCAAAGATAAGAAATCTAAAAGGCATAGTATACCGTCTGATGAGGAAGAATACTTTTTGCAAAAATCTGGATATAGCAAGAGGTAACTTTTTATTTGTTTGTGTGTAGGTGTATTGATATAATCATTGATTAACATATTCGGCCAGAATATACTCGATCCAACTAAATGCCGTGCCTGCCCGAAAATAAGCTACCAACCATTTCTGCTTGCAACTGTATATGTGTCTTGAGATTTCCCATTGTTGGGAATATTTGATAATATGGAATCTTAGGAATAATTTTGATTATGGAGATTGAGGGATAATCCTTGGAAGACTGGTTTCATGTTTAACAAATAAGCAATTTTCTTTGAAAGGAAAATCGATTTTGCCTTCAGCACTCTTAAAGGAATTACTGCGACCCTACTTACCAACATGGTTGTGATGTTGATAATAATAGCATTTATTGCTGAACAGATTACGTCCATTTATGTAAACTTGCAGCAGTACTTAAATTTTTAATGCTTCAATTTAACATTTCAGCATGTTGTGAGATGCTATTATAGTTTATATGCATTAAGGGTGATTTAAGCAAATTTGTTTTAGCCACAGGATAGTGAAAAATTGTATGGTGTCTGGAATTGAACTGTAGCACATTCAGTTTAATTTAGGATACAAGATCTGAGCAATCAATTTTATATAAAAATAATACTGAAGAAAGTGTCCGTCTGAACTCCAAACTATCCACGTCAAAGACGTTTAAGAAGAGTTGACATTCTAAACCTTGTTATAGATATATATGGTGTTTTTTCGAATACTACCTTCCATACATTTGTACGCTTCCGCAACTTTATCATCGATATGTGCGATGAAGTTAATTTGTGAATCAAACAACACTCCTAAATCTTTGAGAAGGTGCAAGATTCCAAAGGTGTATCATCCATGATGCAGTTGAACACTAAAGCAGTGTCAGTTTTGCATTTTGCTACATTTAGTGAGAACTTACTGTTAATACACAATTCATCAATAAAATTAAGGGTTCATTGCAGATCAGCAGATCAGTACAATCATTCATGGTAGCTATTTCGAAGAACACTTTCAAACCATCTTCATCAATCTATTTGATGTAGTTACATTATCTATACCATTTATGAATAAAATAATATAATCATTATAGGTACTATGTTCTATCACATAAATATGATTTGCAAAAAGAAATTGAATCTGTTGAGAAGCTGAAACTATCTAGCCTTTTAAGGACATCATAATCTACCCTGTCAATTGCCTTGGAAACTTGGGTAAAAAGTACCAGATTAGATTCGGTCGATCTATGACTCCATGAGCCATGCTTTAATGGTACTATACTACTGTGAATATGTTTGTGATTATACATAACAATTTCAATAAGCTTCAAAAAGTTGGACAAAAGAGATATGCCACGATAGTTGGACACCACTGATGATGAACATTGCATGCTAACGTCCAAATACAGGTTGGGCATTTTCTTGTAGAAAAATATGTTAATCTTATAATTCATATTTGGTAGGTATTTCAGGTTGCAGTGGATCATATATCGTTCAGTATAAATGTACCAATATGATTTCCAAAGCTATTTCAGGAAGCACAGTATCATTTGTTGTTTGATGTTCAATGAGCGGTTCCCTTCCGTAATTCGTAGAAAACATTTTGGTTTGTGTACAATGTTAAACTTGTTTTGATAAAAGTGAAACTTGCAGGTATATTGAGAGTCTACCGGATTTGGAAGAACTGGAGTCAAAGTTGAATGCATACTATGCACTGGAGAAGGATAAGAGGTAAATTGTCATAATGCTCTAATGTTAAATATGAGACTTTGTGATGAGGCAGGTCAAGCACACTAGAAATAGGATGGATATCTCTCGGTAGTTATACTGTGTGATTTAGGGGCTGCAAGAAATGGTGTTGAGATTGAAATTGTGTCGTTGAGTGATATAATTTTACAAATCATAAAATGTACCTCACAGGTAGTCAGAGTCATCAACATTTTGCCGCTGTACCACAAGAATCACCTGCCGTTTTTGGCAACCAGTTATGATTTGTTAGCGCCGGCGTATACATTTTTATTGAGTAGTCTTGATATCCTTAACTTTTATAAGCGGAACATGGAAGTATATCTTGCAGCACAGTTGTCACTCCTCAAATGTAGGTTAAACCCATTGACATAGAATCTATAGAAGATATAGTATAACGTCTTTATTCAAGGGATTAGGCCAAGATGTTTATCATACAGATATGTTCAAGTAACCTGCGTTTATGTTTTCCACATCTTAGCCGGATTTTTCTGGATTTTTTTTTGTACATTGCAAATAAACATTGTCTTGCGCAAAGATGATATGTTGTAAGGTTTCTGCTGTCGATACCAAAAATTTGTCAGGCATAACGTTTTACAGGTTAGTCGATTCTTTCCAACAAGGAATTTCTGTCAAATACAGTCGTCCATAAAAATTAATAATATGATGTCTATTTATGCATTGAGTTGATTTGTTTTTGAAGAATCTCATGCTTTGGGCAGGAAAGGCTGACAAAGCATCTGTCAAACTTTTCTGCCCAAGACTGGCTGTAAAAAAAAGTTAGATTGGCATTCATATATAAGGACATAGACGGCTTAAAGCGGGGTTCGCAGAGCATTTGAGAAAAAATTTCAATTTGGATCTACATTTTTCCTAAGCTCAAACATCCTGTGAACCCCCAAAATCGGATATTGCTGCTATTCCATCATTATTCTTAAAAACAGTGGCATAAGTATTATCATATGTATGGTGTATGTATGTACGTACGCTATGCACTCGTTCTCCGGTCGCTGTGTTAGGCGCATATAAAAGCACTTTTGTGGTGCGTCGCTACAGATGGGTTTTGCGCAATGTATTCTCATATTGTATGACGAAACTTCGTTTTTTAATATTTTGGTACGAGTGAAAATTTGAAAAGAGCATTTCATCATGATATCCATGAAAATAACAGCTCATAATACTGATAGCACATCAAACAATATTGCTGTCTTCACTGTGCGATATCGATGAGTTATCCCTCCTATTTGTAGTTAATTTTGTCGTATTCGTTGGATAATATATAATGCATGCTGAAGGGCTGCGGGCGGTAGCGCTGGGAGCAGATCACGCGCTGATCATTCCCTTCGGTTGTACCAATCCAGGAGCGCAAGTCCCCCGAGCAGCCCCCGGCGTGGTGCGCTAGAGGACTCCCCGTCGCCCACCCGTGAGCAGAAGGCCAGACAAGCTGTGGCGGAGGCGGCAGCAAGCGCTAAGTGGAAGATGCACATTGGGGCGGCGCAGTCCAGTGCTTCGAGGTTCAAAAAGAAGAGCGCGTTGGGTGGGAGTGGTGGTCAGCCGCCCCCGCCTGGAACCAGTCCGCCTTCCAATGCGGGGCAGTCGTCGACCGATTGGCTAGAGGTGAGTTATGCGATAATTGGAAAATTTTCTGTATTCCGGTTGCCAGTACGTACAATTCATTAAAATTATAGAACTTGCCTTTTGTGAAATCTGAGCTTCCTTCAGAACTGACTTCAGACTGGGTAAAGTAAACCATGATATAATATTTCGCAGTGAAAGCAAGGGAGAGACAAATTACGTGCATGTCATATGGTTAGCCTTATATTTTAGCCTCAGTTTCGGTAGCCAGTTGCAGTCTACTAATACTGCCTTCCTGCTGAATGGCACCTTTAAGTAATTCCGTTGAACTATCATTCAATTTTGGTAGAACTGTGACTATATTTCAATTGTTTGGCATGGGTCATTTTGAACATATACAGTAATGGACAAAAGTATATAGACAAATATGAATGTTTACCTAAATACTTTTAGAAAACGAATTCATACTTCATTGCACCATAACCAAACGCGTTATTAGTAGAAAAGCTAAATTCCTTGTTTTTACATTATCTGCAATGAACACAATAAAAGTCTGAATATAAGCACTATTTTATGACGGACAAAAATATGTAGACAAATTCTTGTCAACATTAGTTTACTACAGTTTCGTGTTAGAAGAGGATTAGTTTGTGTTCATCAAGTATTGTGGAATAAGTTGACTGATTTTATGACCATGCTACGTGGTCCAGAAATTTCTTTCGATGTGAAAACTAAGATCATTGAGTTATACTGAGATAGTCAACGTCAAGTTGACATTGCCAAAAATTTGAAGCTGAAGCATAAAGCAGTTTGGGCAATATTGAACAAATATAAACAAAAAGGTATCTTGGAAGCCTCTAAGAGAAGTGGTCGGCCTAGAAAACTAAATGCTAGATCAGTTAGATGAATAAAAGTAATTTGGTCCAAAGATCCGTTTAACACTCCAAGACAAATAAAATCCGAAATCTAGACAAAAGGAATTGTCAGAGTTTCTACGAAAATTATAAGTGGTAGATTAAATGATTTGAAATTACTTGCACGTCGCCCGAGTAAGAAGCCGCTAATCTCGAGGAAAAACCGTAAGCACCGATTACAATTTGCACGATTGCATCTTGATTGGAGCATCTGTGACTGGAAGAGGGTACGTTTGGATCAAATGGTGTTCATTATGTTAGACGTCCTAGTGGACAAAGATTGAACCCCAAGTACACTTTGCAAACTGTCAAACATGGAGGCCGGTCTGTTATGGTTTGGGGGTGCTTTTCGGGGTTTGGGATGGGACCTTCACATAGAATAGATGGCATTATGGATAAGTTTGTATACACGGACATACTAAAGCATGCCATGTTACCCTATATGGAAGACAATATGCCCTTAAGATCAATCTTCCAGCGAGATAATGACCCGAAGCAAACTTCAAATCTCGCAAAGAAATTCTTTCTGGATGAAAAAATACCAGTTCTCAAAGGCCTTCACAGTCTCCAAAATCTATGGGATTACTTAGATAAGCAAATACGAAATAAAAATTATTCAAACAAGGATGAACTTTTTGCCGCTTTAGGGCAAAAGTGGAGACAGATTGATGAATCTTATATCAAGAAACTTGTACAATCTATTCCGAGACGATGCCAGGCGGTGATTGATAATAATGGTTATGCTACAAAATATTAACACAAACATAGTTGGTTTTCTATAATTCAATGAACTTTGCTTCTTTTTTCTATAATTTTTTTGCTTTGTCTATATATTTTTGTCCTTCATAGTTCCAGTTTTTTCAATTAATTTTTTATTGACGGCAGTCTAATGAATTTATTTACGTATAAGTGAGTATTATGCTATAACGAATTATGTATACAGGTTGGTGTATTAATAAAACAAGTTAAAAAAGAAATATTAATTTGTTTATATACTTTTGTCCATTACTGTATATAGTGAAATGAAGTAACATGCAAATAATGACAGGAACTTAATAAAAGGAATATGATTAATAAACAAAAAAGTTTTAGAACATTAACAATATTAATTTGTCTATACTTTTGTCCATTACTGTAAATACGATTATTTGGGATCAAGATTTCCCAAAAAGTGAAGAGAATTATGCAGTATATGGGCGAAATTATTGAGAGTTTCCAATTTTTACGAATTTTCAATAACAATCAGACATTGGGAGTTTGTATCTATACAGGGTTACAGGAAAAGTCGTGCTAGATCCGTTAAGGGCGTGTAGTACCCATCATTTCTGACTTATTTCATTATGAAACACCCTACCCTAAACTTAACCCTTTTCGAGATATTCAACTTTTAATGTTTTTATTGAAAATTGCCGATTTTTAGGCTACTAAATGTATTTATTTTTATTTTGTGTGTGTTATTATTACTATTATTGCATTTTAACATGTGTAATAAGATGCTTTAGGACGTCAATCATTAAAATAGTCTATAAGTTAATTGAATAGGCTGTAGTAGATAAGTGAATGTTAAGAAATTGAAAAAAATATCAGAAAGTTTATTTTTCTCTAAGGGATATCTAAAAAAAATATTATGGCAATTGTTCGGCAGATGTGTTTTAAAATATCTATGTTTTATCAGCTATCTAACGAGGTATAACAATCTAGGATTTTATTTAAATGCATTGAAAAAACTTAGTTTCATAGGCGACAGTGGAGAAGAAAATTGATACTTAGCCCTAAAAAGTAAAATAAAACAATAGGTAAGCATGAAATATCATTTATTAAATCAGGTTTTCACACAACTTTTTCTTACTCTACAGTTCATGTTCAAGATGGCTGCCTCTGTTTCTAATACATTGTCGCATCCTTCTACGGAGACCAGTCTTTACAACTGCAGTGGTCAACGTTGTCCTTAGTTGATTTGCTGCATCGACAATCCTTTCTCTTAATTCTTCCACAGACGAAACTGGATTTGGCTCGCTGTAGACAAGACTTTTCATGCACCCCCACACATGAAAATCCATGGGGGTTAGGTCCGGACTTCTTGCTGGCCATGGCAACGGCCCACCTCGTCCTATCCATTTGTTTGGATAATTTGTGTCCAGCCAGTCTCTGACACTTCTCCTGAAATGGGCAGGGCAGCCATCATGTTGGAACCACATGTCCCTTCTCAAGTTGAGTGGCAGATCATCCAGCAAATCTCTGAAGTCTCCTCTCAAGAAGTTTTCGTAATTTTCCCCATTTAGATTGTCCGGGAGAAAGTAAGGTCCAATCAAATGGTTGGAGATAATGCCCATCCACACATTCACGCTGAATCTTCGTTGGGACCTCGCCACTCTTTTCTTATTGGGATTCCTTAGTACTTTTGGGGCCCAGTAATGGGCGTTGTGATAGTTAGTTATGCCATCGTTATCAAATTTGGATTCATCTGTCCATAAGATATTTCTTAGAAAATCTGGGTCTTCTACGTCAGCATTTAGCATAAATCTGCTGAAGTCCAACCTTCTCGCGGGGTCTCCTTCTTCAATAGTGTGTACCGGCGTGTAATGGTACGGGTATAGGCCAGCAGTATGCACTGTAAACCACACTCTCCATTGCGAAAGTCCCAGATCACGGGCAACACGATTAGTGGAAATGGTCGGATCCGCTCGAAAGCGTTGCACTATCTCATTGTCCTGCAGTTCTTCGTTGTCATAAATTCGTGGTCTTCCCAGGTCTGTATTTCGTCTCAAAACAGAGCCAGTTTCTCGAGGTCTTAGATAAACTCTGTTAAAAACGGCCACATCCGGCACTCGACGACCGGGGAAGCGAGTTCTGTATTCGTTGCGAGCTTGCGCAGATACACAATCGCAGTATCCGTAACAAATAAGCATATCAGCATATTCCTCAGGTGTGTAGGACGTCATCTTCAACACTTCCGTATCACAAGTACAAATCAGAGTCCAGTGAACAAGCACAGTATTCACAAATCAGAAGAAATAGTCCAGAATCGTAGCCAAGTCGAGGAAAAGAGCAAAACGATATCACATCTACTATGTACGAAGCACAAAAGCAGACTGACAACCAAAACATCCCGTGTTGGATTTCCAGCCCTAACCGGTTATTATAATATGTTTTCTTTCATTCGCACCCACATTAAATCGTCATGTCTCGCTCGCACGGTGCGTCTAAACTTGAAGGAGAATAGGCGTGGGAACTGCTACTGGAGCGTCCCAACTACTTTTTTTCTACGAAATGTAATACAAATCCTAGATTGTTATACCTCGTTAGATAGCTGATAAAACATAGATATTTTAAAACACATCTGCCGAACAATTGCCATAATATTTTTTTAGATATCCCTTCGAGAAAAATAAACTTTCTGATATTTTTTTCAATTTCTTAACATTCACTTATCTACTACGGCCTATTCAATTAACTTATGGACTATTTTAATGATTGACGTCCTAAAGCATCTTATTACACATGTTAAAATGCAATAATAGTAATAATAACACACACAAAATAAAAATAAATACATTTAGTAGCCTAAAAATCGGCAATTTTCAATAAAAACATTAAAAGTTGAATATCTCGAAAAGGGTTAAGTTTAGGGTAGGGTGTTTCATAATGAAATAAGTCAGAAATGATGGGTACTACACGCCCTTAACGGATCTAGCACGACTTTTCCTGTAACCCTGTATAATAAATTATACAAGGTCCAAGAATATGTGATTCATCAATATTGTGACAAGTTCATATAAAAAAGTTTCGTAAAGAGGTATACAATTTCCTGAAGGATGTAATTGAAAATGGTTTTTCTTAAATAAGGTCTGAACGAAACCATAACTGCAAAATTTTCAAAGCATAATAGTCAAGTCATGTGATATTAGTATCTGAAGAAGACAATTGTCATTGAGCATTGCTATTTTTTTACACCCTATATAATTATGGCTAATGATATTTTTGATAAGTCTAATCCTGTAGCTCATATAACTAAGCGTTTATGTAATATCGTTATATTTCAATACCGTTCCTATCGATTTACTTTACAGATGACGTCCGAAAAATCTGACAAATGACTTCAATCGATGATCTAGAAATTTATATATTTTTTTTCATATCAGTGATTATGGATTTTGTGATTGAATATACTATATTTTCAAAGTGGTGGTACCCTCAGTGTATCGGAATCAGTTTATTAATTGATTGAATAGTACTGACTTTTCTCAAAAAATGGCTCATTTTAGAGTTTTTTTAACTGCAATAACTTAACCACTATCATCATCTTAAGTTTAAATCTCCAACACTGTAAAAGGTCACCCAAGCTATTGCCTGTTAACATTTCGTGAACTGCAACGTTATCATACGCATTTTTTCAAAAGTTACCTTTTCCATTTTGCTCCACAGGACAAACGCAAGAGCAGCAGTTACGATAGCCCCCCACCATCAAAAAAAGGCTCCCTACCGCCTCTACCACCAGAAAAGGCAGTCAGCGTGCGTAAAGCGATGGCTATGAAAGAACCACCACTGCCCCCAGCGCAGAAAAAGGGTGGCGCCTCCACCGAATCGCCGCCCTTGCCGCCCCCTAAGAAGTCGAGCAAGCCGTCGCCGGCACCCGCCGCACCTCCCAAAATACCCCAAGGACAGGTGGTACTGGATAAGTTTGGCAACTTCCGGCTGATGACTCCGCCCGAGTTGAAAAAACTTGGGTCGGCGGATGCCCAGCCGTTGCCTCCGGGTAAGGATTTGTTTTTATTTTTATTTACAAAATGTTTTCGTAACAACTTATGACTAGTAGTAGTAGAAATATTTATATATCACCTCGAAATTGGAGATTCTTACATTATATCAAGAAATTTATAAAAAATGAAAGTTTCAGTATCTTTTGCTATCACGTATCAAAGAATATAGAATCAATGTTTAGCTCCAGCAAAAAAAGATTATTATAAACAGAAGATAATAAGTTCAGGAAATAAAACCAAGAAGGCATGGCAAGTCGTAAATGAATTAAGATGCAAACCTCCTACTTCCCCCCACCTATAAATACTGATCTATTATACAATAATAATTATTGCTGCATAATAGCAAAAAAAACTAAAAAATACGATTTGAAATACTGATGACCCATTAACACATCTAAACCATTAAATATAAATCAGATATTTTATTCTATGTACATTTATGAACTGCAATTTTACTAGTATTAAAATCTATCAAAAAGAAAAAATCAGGCATTGATGAAATTTCTTTAAATGTTATAGCTAATCTTTCACTTGATACTCTTCATATGCTCCCACAACTTATAAATATTTCTCTTACCACCAGTGTTTACTTAGCAAATATAATAGAAAAAATATTTTAGATTAGACTATACTTTCTAAAAACCAATAAAATTATAAGTGACAACCAATTTGGATTTCAAAAACAAAAAAACTACCATCAGTACTATTTTCACATTACTCCAACAGTTATACTCAAATTTGAATGGTAAAAAAATTTCAATAGGTCTTTTTTGCTACTTTTTAAAACGTTTGACTGTGTAAACCATTATATATTATAAAAAAAATATCCAGATAGGGTTGTACTGTAATTTCACTGATTCGGTTTAAAAAATATTTTAATTATCATCTTATTTTAAAATTCTCAAAACGTGAATAAATTGAATATAAACGCAGGGGTACTTCTAGGATCGTATTAGGTCCGATCCTGTTCATAGTCTATATTAATGATTTAATAAACTTAAATACATAAATGGTAAATTCGTAGTTTTTGATGACACATAAATTAAATCAAGACCAAAATTGTCGATTGAAAAATGGTGTGTCAACAATGACTTGACTGTTAATAATAATAAGAAAAAAATTATGACTTTTAACTGCTTGCTTGAATTTTTGGGACTGACCATTGATCATCAATTAGATTTTACTAATCATGTAGACAAATTGCCTACTTAACTAGCAGATATTTCCTTTATTATAAGAACAATATTAGTTTACAGCATAGGGAAAAAGCACAGCCCTAAGCAGTTACTTTGCCTTATTTGAAAGTAGATTGAGATATAGCATTCCCTTATGGTGTGTCTGTTCCCCAAATTGTCTTAAAAAAGTGTTTACTCTTCAGAAACGAACTATTAGATATATCACTAAAAGCAACCCTAGAGCTACATGCAAGCCTTTATTTGTACGTAAATCTTAAAATAATGACTGTTGTATCATTGTTCATTTTGGAAATGGCAACTCTTGTTTTTAAAAATAAATCTAAATTTGAAACATTAAATAAAAGCTACAATATTAGCCGAAAACAGGATCTTAAATTAATAGAACCTAAATCAACACTTGTGAGACTCAATCATTTATAATAGCCTGAAAATTTACATGTGTCTCTATAATGCTATCAAAAAAATTAACAATTTAAAGATATTCCGCCGTGAACTTGAAAACTTTTTTATATGTAAACCATATTATACCATGTGCGAGTTCTACAGTTCACGTACTTAAGATCCACATAAATGTAGCATATGTACTTATAGTTTAGTACTAGTTAGCTTTGTCATTAAAAATGATTCTGAGTCAAGTTAGACCTGGCAAAAGATATTTCGCTGCCATCATTTGCCAGTTTAATCCTAACCTCAAATCGACTGAATGTCCCTCACAAATATTTCTGTACGACACGCAATAGGTGGCGCAATTATCGCGCACCCAACGAATTCTATGGAATTTAAAATAACCTATACAATGGTTTGAAAGACTTGCTAAATTCCAGGTCGTCGCCCGCCCGAGCCGCCCGGTCGTCCCAGGAGCGAATCCCGATCGCCGAAGCGACGCAGTCGTTCCAGATCGAAGTACAGCAACCGCAGCTCATCGTCAGGATCCAGGTCGAGGTCGCGCAGTTACAGATCGAGATCAAGGTCCTACTACAGTCGCTCTAGGAGCAGGTCCGGTTCGTACTATTCGAGGAGTAGGTCCAGGTCTAGGAGCTATTCGGGAGATAGAAGGAGATATAACAGGCGCGGAGGGTAAAACATGATTCTCATTTTAACGATTTTTTCTTAAATTGTTTAGTACTGATAAGAAGTGGTTAATGTTGACATGGAATAAGAAAATCTTTTTTTATTTGAAAGGCCCACAATCTATAGAAATGATATGAGTCAAATATCTGCACAGTTTCAGAGAACATAGAGGTCCGATTCTCAATGACTGCCCATAATTCTGACTTTCGGAGTTGTTTCTGGGTTCATTTGGCGGCATTGGTTTGCACTTTTTGAAAACACAAGACAAAATGGTGTCATTAGACCTTGCTGGACTGCTTTTGTGGAGTTTTCTAAAGTTGTAGGTTTATACTCCACACCATTAAGCCACAATAATCCCATGCCTTTAAAGTCAACATAGTCCACTCCATCATATAACTTATTCTGGCAGAGCCAATGAAAATTGATCCCCTCCGACTCGTGACACTATGTGAAGCTGTGGCAAAGCACTGAGCAGTGTCATTCCCATAGATGACACATGGGATTAACAATTAGAAAATTGTTTTACCTCACACATAGCTTGTTTTATTGCCATCTCAACATTAACCTGCCCTGATACGACTGTTTAATTGAACACTAAAACTAAATGTTCTAAAACTTTTTTGTTTATTAATCATATTCCTTTTATTAAGTTCCTGTCATTATTTGCATGTTACTTCATTTCACTATATACAGTAATGGACAAAAGTATATAGACAAATTAATATTTCTTTTTTAACTTGTTTTATTAATACACCAACCTGTATACATAATTCGTTATAGCATAATACTCACTTATACGTAAATAAATTCATTAGACTATTTGCTTATCTAAGTATTCCCATACATTTTCAATGGGGTTTATAGCGGGAGATTGTGAAGGCCATTTGAGAACTGGTATTTTTTATCCAGAAAGAATTTCTTTGCGAGATTTTAAGTGTGCTTCGGGAAGATTGATCTTAAGGGCATATTGTCTTCCATATATGGTAACATGACATGCTTTAGTATGTCTGTGTATACAAACTTATCCATAATGCCATCTATTCTATGTAAAGGTCCCATCCCAAATCCCGTAAAGCACCCCCAAACCATAACAGACCCGCCTCCATGTTTCACAGTGGGCAAAGTGTACTTGGGGTTCAATCTTTGTCCACTAGGACGTCTAACGTAATGAACACCATCTGATCCAAACATATTGAACTTGGATTCGTCACTGAAATATACCCTCTTCTAGTCACAGATGCTCCAATCAAGATGCAACCGTGCAAATTGTAATTGGTCCTTAGGGTTTTTCTTCGAGATTAGCGGCTTCTTACTCGGGCGACGTGCAAATAACTTCAAATCTTAATCTTCTACTTACAGTTTTCGAAGAAACACTGACAGTTCCTTTTGTCTCGATTTCGGCTTTTATTTGTCTTGGGGTTTTAAACGGATCTTTGGACGAAATTACTTTTATTAATCTAACTAAAAATGCTTATATTCAGACTTGAATTGTGTTTTCTAAAGGTATTTCATATTTGTCTATATACTTTCGTCCATTACTATATATCCTCTACGCATATTCAGTTCGAAATAAGATAGCACAAAGGCGCCATCTATCACACTAGAATCGACCACTGGGGAAAGCGCATAGTTGCTTTTAGTTGTTACTGTAATGGTACGATTCCACCAAAATAGTGTTCAGCACATTTGTTTACAAACATTTTGTTTGAAACTCCAGCATTGAATGTGCTCACTGGTATCGAATTTATCTTCTGTGTCCACCGGCAAAGCAGTGCATAACTTTTGTAAGCGTACAGTGTAGCACACTTGTGCACGAACATGTTTACCAAGCAAAGTTCTCACTAACTTCAGTTCTTAATATGGATGGGCGGGAATACGTAGTGTTTTGTGCTGAAGTTTGTGTTTTAATAGGTAGTCTGCTTAAACAGAAATGAAGGAGAAAACCACGATGTTGGGTGAGGCCTTTTCTGCAGCGATGGAATGAAGAAACGAATAGATTTGTAAAAGAAATAAAAGTAGATCCCTTAAGTGGATTTAAAAATTTTACTCGTATATGGTCAATGCACTTAGTCCTCATATTGAAAAGCAAGACACCAACTACAGAAAATGTTTCCCTGTTTCAATAAGGCTTATTTATAGCTTTTATTGCCCAACAGATAATATTTATAGGCCAAAATCTGAAATTAGAAATATTACAAAAGCCTAACTTATAAAACTATCTAAGGCGCTCCCGCAGAACACATTTTAGGTCAGAAATAGAACATAAAAATATGTCACAAAACTTACAAATACTATTATAATTCAAACACATAACCCTTTCAGGTGATTTCAAAATCAAATTTGTGTTAGCACGACTGCAAAAGAAAGTAACATTACATCTTGAAACGGATCTTGGCGTTAAAAGCTGTAGCTGTGATAACAATATAAAATAACAAATAATAAATCTGAAAACCCAGAACCTGAAGATTTTGAATTCGCTATTTTCTTCTTTTCTCTTCGGTACCGAGCCAAAATAATCTTCCATTTTCTCATTACCTCAGTCGAGTCACAATTGAAACTTTGAGCCAACTCTTGAGTGGCGTCGTGTTTTTTGTTTCTGTTTTTATAATTAGTGTGACTGGAATCCCATAGAAGAGGATAATTTTCAATTGCTTAAATAAATTTTATAATCCTATCATTGGTCCAGTCCATTTTCAATTTCGTAAAAGAAGTGCCCGTACAAACAAATGTTTTCACTCCAGGAGCGGGAGCAATACTGAGTTCGCGAACAACAAGTATGTACCCGCCGACGCGAGTCCACTGCGTGCATGTGCGCGCGCACAAAAGTAACTGATGTGCGCGAACATTTCCGAAATGTTTGCGCGCCATTTGCTATTGTTTGCGTGAGTGAGTCGACCAGAAGAAACATTTGTGCTGTACACTGTGCATTAGAGTGCCGCACAGTTCCAGCACACTGATGGAATCGCATCTTTAAGGCTCTCAGCTCGCGTTTAATAGCCGAGTCACCAAGTGATCGCTAGATGCCTGAAGATTCTGGCTGTAAAGCAGATGTGGCCTACTTGCCTTTGAATAAACTAGACATACCTCTATAACTAGAATATATGGTTGCGGTGCTTTGGTTGGACTCAAGAGACCATGCATATAGACCATTCTGATGAGTAGTCAAAAAGCACAAAACAGCTGTCCATGGCTGGCTGTCTTTTTTGTCGGACGAACGAAAGCATCATGACTAGTTTATTTCTTCAGTTGTTTATTAGAGACTGTTCGTTAACTGCATGTGCATGCCCGTATTACTAGACACCACTAATAACACCTAACACATATACTTTTTCCAAAAAACACATCTAGACGCACTGCAGGGCAACTTTTCTCTAACCTCGACCATGTCTTACTTACTTTAGTTTCAGAGGCCGCTATAACGACAGAGGCACGTATTACAAACCAAGATTCCAGAATCCGAGACACAACGATAGAGGAGGACGCGGCTACTACAGAGGCCGCGATCGATACGATAGAGATTACAGGGGCAGAGGCAGAGGCCATGGACCGTTCAGGGGCCGCAGACCTAGAGGTCGTTTCTCCAGAGGCGGATACAGGGATTATAGAGATAGGAGGTAGGTTAAATAAATAAGTCATTTTCATATATAATAATAAATCTTTATTTCAAAATAACAGTGCATGATTACAATGTATTACACACTGTTAGGTGAAATATACGTCACAGTGTCATAAAGACAGAAAAAACAGAGGCAAAACATATAACATAATAAAGATATTACATTTCAAAATATTCTTCAAGGTCATATGGTTCTAAGTGCATTAACAATTGATAAATACTCTTTTATATTCTTTTATATCTGCCAACCTTTTAATTTCTTGTGGTAACTTATTATATATTTTAGTGCAGCTGTAATGGACATTTTTTTCGGTAACCGTGAGATGATGGACTGGATACAGAAGATTTATATTTCTATTTCTTGTGTTATAGTCACTTCGTGGGTTACCGATAAAATTGTTAATATTTTTAAGTGTAAAAATTAGAATCTCTTGAATATATATTGTGGCTACAGTTAAAATTTTATTACTCTTAACTTTTCCTCTGCAAGTCTCTCTAGTTGAAATTTTTAGGATGCACCTCAGCACTCGCTTTTGCACTAAAAAGATGCTATTGGTATGGCTACTATGTCCGAAAAAAATTATTCCAAAACGTACAATGGATTCAAAATTCGCGTAATATACCGTTTTTAGAGTCTTGAGGTCTAGTTACTTGGTTAGTACTCTAATACCATAACATGCATTGTTTAACCTTTTTTCTAGATGTTCTATATGTTTAGCCCAGGAAAGTGCTTGGTCAATATGAACTCCCAAGAATGTTCCACAGTCTGTCAGAGGGACTTCTATTATTTCTGCTAAGGTGATGTTTGTAGCTTCGATTTTTTTTCTTAATTTAAAAACAATCGCATTTGTTTTTGAGGTATTCAGAGATAATCCATTACGAGCAAACCACAAAAACGCTTTCTCGCAGAGGCTCAAAGTACTATCAGCTAAATGGTTGAAATCTTGGCCAGTGACTAGTACACTAGTGTCGTCAGCGTATTGGATCGTGCATACATTATTTGGGCTTGTAATACTAGCACACAGATCGTTCACAAAAATCAAAAAGAGGAGAGGTCCTATGGCGCTACCTTGTGGAATACCTCTTTCTACAGTTAACTGTGATGAAACGGCTGATATTTCATTCTTTGTAATGAAAACTCTTTGCTTACGATGTGTCAGATAAGACTTAATCCAGTTGCACGCACTTCCCCTTATCCCGTATGCATCGAGTTTATTCAATAGTAGCGAACGATCCACACAATCATAAGCTTTGGAGAGATCAAAAAACAGACCCAGCGATATCATAATATTTTCAAGACATTCTATGATGTTGTGGCTGAAAGAATAGATCGCCGTGTTGATGGATTTCCCTTTTACAAACCCATGTTGTGACTCTGCAATTAAGTTGTTACATATCATATGGTTCATAATTCTTGAATACATCACTAACTCAAAAAGCTTTGCAAAACAAGAAAGTAAGCTTATTGGCCTATAATTTAACAAGTCACTAGGATCTCCTTTTTTGTATATAGGTATAATTATAGCTAATTTAAGTTTTTTAGGGAAAATACCGTACTTAAGTGAGTTGTTTATTATGTGAACCAAAGGTTCCAGAATTACTACTAAGCAATATTTCAAAATACTAGCTGGAATGCCATCATCACCAATACTCGTTTTATTTTTAACTTTTTTGCCCAGTTCTGCTAGTTCTAGAGCAGTAACATATTCTAGTGGCATACACATGGTCTAAAAAGTCAGAAGAGTTATGTATTGCTGCCTGTGGTAATATTTTAATTACTTCATTAATACAGTATTCATTGGAAGCATTTGCTATAGCTTCAGGGTCACCTGGAATAACACAGTCATCTCTAATTTGACCTTTTATTTCCTTTACTACACTCCACACACATTTTGATTTATTATCTGACTCTTGTATACGTCTTTGATATAACTTATATCGGGCATTAGTTAACAAAAGATTGTTCTCTCTTCTGACTTTGTTATAGCATGGTTTGTAGGAATTGTCACTGTTGCTTATAACATATAGAACATCCAGTCGGTTCCTACATTCCTTAATATTATTATCCGTTTCCTGAGAATGATTTGGGTTAACCAGCCTTTTTGTCACTACTGTTTTCATGGGAAACGATTGATCAAAGATAGATTGAAATATACTACTAAAATAATTCCATTGTTTGTTTACATCATTCTGAGGAATTTGAAGTAATTTTTGCCAGTTTACAGATCTGAGGCTGGTTAAAAAAAATCTTTATTTTCTGAACTGAATATCCTTTTCTGTATAACATCACCAAGATTGTGCATATTAACCTTCATTGTTATTTTTTGAGCAGTGTGATCTGAGATTAATGAATTAATGACATTAGATACATAAGTTGAGGTATTGGTGAAAATATTGTCAATACAAGATCCACTGGTGGATGTTATGCGTGTGTATTGGAATATAGTTTGATGTAAATCATATGAATTTAAAAGTGAACATAAGAGTTGTTTGTTCAGGCTTTCCTGAGAAAAATCTATATTGAAATCACCGACTATGAAAATTGTGGCACTGTCATCGCGGATTTTCAGTAGAATTCGTTCCATTTTTTCTAAAAACACATGAATATTACCAGATGGTGGTCTATATATTGACAACATTATGAAATTCAACCCATATAAGGAACATTTTACTGCAGCACACTCCAGGGAACCTTCCACAGATAATGATTTTATATCTGACCTTTCCGAGCACTGAACTCCCACCCTCACATAAAATGGACTCCCACCATGCTTCCCTTGTTTTCTGCAAAAACAAGATGCTAACTTGAAGTTCCTAATTCCATAGTTGATAATTTGGTCTTGACTCTTCCAGTGTTCAGTGATGCAAATGAATTTACAGTCACTATTATTTGCTATCATCTGGTTAACCTCATTTATTGAGTTTCCAAGCGACTGGACGTTTTGATGGAGTAGCGCTATTCTGTTGTATTCCTCCATTTGCTTGAAAAAGCCATAGATGTCAAACTCATCAGCATCAATTTGTTCCCTGTTTATATTTGAAAATCCTGGCTGTAATTGATCTTATTTCTAAGCCTCCTAATTCTCGATGTGTAGACTGGAACTTTTGGGTCGCGGGCAGAGTGATTAAGGTCACTATATTTCATTTTTCGGCAATTTACACATTTAAGATCATGTTCCTGACAGGTGGTGGCTTCATGGTTACCTGACATTTGTAGCAACATGTCTGCTGTTTGCAGTACTTAGCAATATGTCCAAAATTTGAGCATTTAAAACAGATTTCCAAATTAATGTGCTCTTTAACATAAACCCTTACCAAATAGAAGTTCGAAGTTTATCTGACCACGTTTTAAGAACCACTTAGCAATTTCGGGCGGTGCTTGTAAAATCCAGTTTTCTTTATGTGGATTACGCCAGTTCTTCTTTGTAAAGATCTTGATTTTATCTGTAACACTACAGTTTAATTCAGCTTCAATTTCATTATTCAGCCTTATGAGCTCATCTATGAATTCTTTTGCCTCGCATCCTTTTTCAATTCCTGTGACCATGAACATATTATCGATTCCATCTGATGTTTTGATTGTTATGTCGTTCTTATCTTTCAATATATTTTTCAGCTTCTGTTGTTGGCTTTCAGTGTGGCTTTCTACTATTACTGCCCCTGATTGTAATTGTCTAATATTTTTTAAGCCTCCTTCAGTACCCTTTTGCGTCAACTCTTGTTTAAGTCTACTTAGGACCACCCTAGGATTTTCTGTTTTTTCCACTCTTATGATTGACTCAAGTTTCCGATTTTCTGGTGGAGTCGTCCATGGTTCTTCCATGGACTCCTCCTTCTTTTGCTTATTGATTCTTTGGTTGTACTTACTGTCTTTCCACCTATAATACTGTACTAAACTATAGCTTACCATCTGACCAGGGTTATTACGTAAAAACATACATATATACATAATGTCAAAAAAAACGACAAAATGAATACTTACTGCCTAGATAGCTGCTACTGTAGAAATAGTTCAATCCGCTGAGCGTCACCCTAGTGTCATCTATTTAGGAATGACTCAACGACATACCATCATGCTTTGTTGGTTGCAGAATGCCGAGATAGACTGTAGAGTATGTATCTCTCAGATGTGAAAGAGAAAATTGGTTGAATAGCAAGATCGCATCTAGATGATTGTGTATATTGGTCTTCATGTGTATAAAGTCAGTGATGTTTGCTATGTGAGAAAATTATTACTGAATATGCTGCCCGTGAAGTATAGATAGATGTGTTCTTTGTGTTGTATTTTCTGAAGATAGGTAATGTTCAGAGTTATAAATTGGAATTTTCTCCATTTTTTATTGCATTTGCAAAAACTTTGGAAGTATTACTGGAAATCAGCACCGCGCCCGCGTTGTGTGTAATTAAGCCACATCGCAGAAAAGTAGGACTGACGCATCACACACAAAACATTTTCGCAGTGCCTCACACCTAGGCGCACATTAGGTATTTTCTACATCGCAAAATAAATTTCTATAAAATTTAAATGACTGGAAATGAAAAATGCTGAAACATGTAATAACCTTTCTACGTTTCGTAAATATTCCTGCCTGTACCCTATTTTCTCACAAGTTAGTTGTAATATACTTCACCAACCAGAGATTTTCTTTTTTCTCTCTGATTTTTTGAAATTCGACAGACTTGCATATGTCATTTCCAGGATGAAGCATACATCTCAAGTAAGTGTATTTGAGACACGAAATTAAGGGAATTATCATCAATTATTTATTATTAGCACTCTCATATCCTGACTATGCACCTATTGATTAGAACATTGATAGTTCAAGCACCATGACGTTTAGGTTACACGTACGGCTACAGAATGAGTGCTCATGAAGTGGACAGCAGATATTTCTTAAGTCGACATCTTGCAGAAAACCTACCCAATGACACAAAAAGCTTATATAATGTCATAAAAACGACAGTGTCACTTTTCAGGATATGTAATACCCCTGCCGGCAACAACTCCTTAAGGTTATTTTTGAGGGTCGTATCGTCAGTCGTTCCTAGAATTGTAGGACGCCTTTATGGCCTCCTTGATTTTCATAGTTTCTCCTGCCCTTCAGAAAGGCGCTCTATTTTGAGGCTATGTTACAAGTACTATCTATTTGAATCAAATTGTTCATGTTTTTGATTTTTATCGTCTGTTTTATCAGCTTGAAATTTCCTACAATTCAAAAAGAAAACATAACTGGGAGAGCGCTGACGCCGTCACGGAGCAGTAGAAGTCTAGAAATATCCCGGCCTTTCTCAAGATAAGACTGAAAATCAAGGAGGCTATAAAGGCGTACTACAATAATTCTAGGAACGACTGACGATACGGTCCTTAACGTCGCATGTCCCTCTTTTTCAACATTCTGTCTGGAGGAGTACTCTTAATACTTATTGTCTGATTGTTTCATGGTGTGTATAGAGGTGACTGAAAAACAATGTTATCAGTTTCTTTTTTTGTCAAAAAATGAATTTTTGTACATTTCTTCAATCGTTAACGAATAATAGTACAGCCCTAAAATTGTATATGAATATTAAACTATTCTGGAAGAATTAAGCGGGTGATTACTTCTTTCTTATCACTTTCTCTCAAGAAAAAATCTTGCGTGTCTTGAAAACCCAATTAGCTGCAAAATGAAATTCCAAAATAATCAAAATTTTATTGAAGAGAGAAAGTAATAAGAATAAAAGTAATCACTCTATCAGTTCTACTATAAAAGTGTAATTTCGACATACATGTACAATTTCAGAGCTGTACCAATATTTATTAAGTTACGATTGAAGACAAATTGCACAATAAAATCCACAGTAACATTTGACAAAAAAATTGATAACGTTTTTTTTTCATATCTTTACACACGGTGATACTCGTATAATCAGAAGAAAAGTATTTAGAATACTGCTATAAAAAAAGGTGCAAAAAATGGGCATACAAACTTAAACACTTGTAAGGACCAGAGATTTATGCATCGTTTTATGACGGAGTGCATCAGAATTATGCAAACGTACTATAATCTATCCAACTAACGTACGGAGTAATAAAACAAGTGACAGGGCAGCCCGATTTACACCGCACGACTACCTGCAAAACCGATAATACGTTATTGCCAGTGGCGTGTAGGTTTTAAAATTAATTAAGATACGATTTAATTTATTTTCACTGTTTCTTCTATCTTTTCATTACTCTCAAGGTGCTATAAGGTTTCTTATTTGATTCATTAAATATGCTGCCTCAGTTTATGATTCATTAACTTAACATATTTTTTATATTACAAAAATAATTTTAATACATGGGAAAAAAATAAAGAAAAGGGCTCAAAAAGTAAATTCTTTTACCTAATAATGAATCTACCTGCATTCATTACCACGTTTATTTCGACAGCTCTATCCGGATAGACTTTAAAGTGGATTATCTCAATCACGTGTAATCCTGACCATTTATTTCGCCAATCCACAAGTCAAACCAAAACTGATCACGTCAAAATCTTGGACAGAGGGCTCCGTCGAAATTAGCGGTCATGATTAACACAGGATTGGGATAACCTACTTTGAAGTCTATCCGGATAGAGCCGTAGAAATAAACATGGTAATTATATAAGTATGTTTAGGGATATAGGTCCTTCGTCATTATCCAGTAAATATACAAATTACATTCATTAACTAATCGCTATCACTGTCAGTATAATATGAAGATTCTGAATCGTTTCCTAAGTTAATAATCACTGGTTCAACCGCTCTTTCCATATATAGGTCAGTTGTCCACATTTTTTTTCCTCGTTCTCAACATGTTCGATTGCTTTTTTCCAATTTTCCGGAGTTACATTTTTACCGCGGTGTAAAAAAGCTGCTTTGCACCTGCGATCTTGAAAGTTGTGTTTTTTCTGGAAACTTCGTTTTTAATTTGCGCCCAAATTAACTAGATTGCGTTAAACTGGCAATGGTAAGGAGACAGGCGTAAAATACTCCGATTGGTAGATTTAGCCATTTCGTCGATGACATACTTGTCAGCACTTTTATTACTCTTGACCAGATTTAAAAGTTCTGCTTTGACCATATTGTTGTCAAAGGGAACATTATGCCTTGGTAGCCATTCCTGTATTTCCCCTTTTCTGTTTAAACTGTTTGGTGCTTTATCAATACGCCTACTATGGTATGAAGCATTATCCATAACAATGACAGCCTAAGATAATTAGCCGTTTTCCTTTACCTGAAGGATTTTTTAATCCCGTGAAGAGACCTTGCAGGAAAGCTTGCTGAGGATGCTCAACTGATAAATCCACCCATACTTTGCTAACAGTGTGCCCTGCATTGAGCCAAGTCTCATCTGGGTAGTAATATCTTCCTGCCTTCTTCTCTATACTTCCAGATTTCGCATATCTACGTCTCCAACATATTATCTCGCCCTTTTCTTTCAAGATGCTATTTCGCTTCCTTCCTACAAAACTTAAAATTACATTAAATCTTTAAAATCATTAATTCCATGAACCATATTATACGAATAACCAATTTCAGGTGATTCATCTTAACAAAATTGCAAATTTAGTTTAGTCATAAAGAATGATAAAAAACATAAAAATCTCTGAACTATTTTTGTGTGTGAACATTTTACGGATTTTTTTAGTTTTGTATTTTACTTTCAAGGAGAAATAAAAAAACAAGTTTTTTATACAACACTGACCGAAATTTAAGTTCCTTCATCAATGTAGCCAACGTCGATCTTTTGAAGTCTGGCAAGTCATCGTCGTCGTTTATTGATATCAAAATTTTGTCCAATGTGGGTGCTGCGTTTCGGAAGAAAAATTCGTGGATGTTTCTTCGGATTAATGCCTTAGTTTCTTGTGAAACGTTGTCCAAAGCAACTCTGGCTCTATGGTAACCTTTGGGAGGAGAAAGTCTGTTGCTTCTTTTGTGCTCTGCCAAAATTTTATATACACTGCTACTTGATGCTCCTGAAAACAAATCAATACATTTTGCATATATTATATATACATGCATTAATAAATGATGAAAATAACTGAAAATAAGTTTTAAAAATCAAAATGTGTGCAACAGAAGTAGCTATCATATTAGTGGGTAAGATATTTAACAGAAAATAACTATTATTTAGAATAATATATCAAACTACAAAACATTTTAAATTATGCTTCAAAGCTAAATCCTCTCCTGATGCTCTTGAAACAGAGACTACACGTTTTGTCTGAGTCTCATTTAGATAGCGCTCCCGAGAAGCTATTTATAAATATTTATAATAGTTTCTTTTTCAGAAACCGACAAACCTCTTTTTGTCTGTTTTCTTGGTAATTGGCGCTCGTCTAATAAGGCACTCATGTCGAAATATCCTTTTAAAAGCTGTCTCACAAAAATAAATGGAGTTTCCAAAAAATCTCAACCGCACGTCACAGATCTTCGGAAAGTGCTTTTGTGAACTTGTTGGCTTATCTACCGAAAACGGTCAAAAAGGAACGAGGCGCGTGTCGGTCAGATGATTTTTTACTCCGTAGATATCGTTGGATAAATTATAGGAAGTTTTCTCTCATTTGCCATGAAAACTATGATGCTGGGATGGTGAGACACATTTTTCTAATCGCGTGATTTCTTGCCATTGCGATGTCTATGGGCTTGAAAGATCCTCGCGCTTTTTTCCACAGAAGACTAATGACCAGAACGTTTCTCAAATTTTCAGTTGAAGAAGCAACTTAGAAGTGCATTTCGAGAATATTATTTATGAAACATTTTCAGGTTTTATTTAAAAAAATCTGAGGTACCTTTTGAGAGACTTTGTACGTCTTATAAATATTGTCCATCTATAAAAAGTTCATGATGTGTCATTCCCATTTAAGAAAATTGTGGAGTTCTTCGCTGAGGATTTTGGAATTTCATTTTCAAGATGGAATATACTGAATATATGGTTTCCTCTATAGGTACGATAGAAGCCGCTCCAGGGATAGAGATCGCAGCCGTTCATACAGTGGCAGCCGTGACAGAGACAGTGTGTCACCTAGAAGATCGTCGGCCAGAAGGTCATCAGAAAAGGAAAGGATCAATAAGTACAGCGGTGATGGACAACCTGAAGCTGTCAGACATGAGGGACCATTGTCCGAAGGCGAGGATAGGGATGATTATAATACTGGAAATGACAGCAGTAAACTTATTGACAGGTTAGTAACACAATAAGATTATTTTAATATAGCCCATTTTAAAAAGGAAACATAGGAATTAAATCGGAAATTCTTGTGTGTTACTTCCATTCCTAATTTTGAAACTGCCTACAATCCAAAGTTGGCGTTACAAAAGAGGGAACTCTCTCTTAAGCGTCACATTTTATACTGATAGGATTTGATATTCTAGGATATTTAGTTCAGACATGTACCAAAGTTAGAAGGAGCTTCTTTGTCTCGAATGGCCCCGAAATGCCATTTACGATACGGTTGTTCCGTCATAGTGTAAACCTATGATACTATAATTCGAGAAGATATGCTTACTTAGCGATCGAATTTCCTACGCCTTCGTGCATAACGTCACTCGGTGACAAATTTTCAGCTTGTCGGTACGAAATGCATTGTATTTGAGCGTTTTTTAATATTTGAAATATTAGCTTAACATTTCTTTGTTATCAATTTTACACGATAACTTTAGTATTATATAGAATGTTTAATTTATACAGGGTGTTTTCAAAGTTGTCATTTATTTTAACAGCTTGTAGAACTCGTCAAAAGAAGTTGGTATACCAAAAATCACCTATATAAAAGTTACATAATAAGAGAGTTAATTTACATCATTATGAATTATTAAAAAATATTCAAGTTTTTACAAAAAAATGTTCAAAATTGTCCCCATTTTTCCGATTAACAAAAAATTTGCTCCGAGAATCCACGACTGTTTACAAGCTTCGAAAATAAAATCCTGTCCACGAATTAAATCACAAGCATTTTCAGTGCACTGTTGAAGTCCTTCCATAATCTTTACTGCTCCATCATGATACCAAACTCTTTCAAATAGCCTCACAGAAAAAAATCGCAAGGCGTTAAATCCGAGGAGCAAGCAGGCCAAGAGATGAGTTCATTGCGCCCTATCCATTTATTGGTAGACTCATTATTTAGATGAACTTCTCGTCTAAAATGTGGTGGAGCCTCATTATGTAGGAACCACATATTTTGTCTCACATCTAATAATTGTGACAGATTGAGTCGAAGAAAATCTAAATAAATTTTTCTGGTAAGTCGAGATGGAAAAAACTAGGGTCATATAAGCATGCCATTTACCACGGCAGCCCAAACATTTAATGAAAATCTATGTTGAAAATGAGTTCCTTTTGCAGCATGCCGATTTTCTACTGCCCCATCATGATTGTTGTAGAAATTGCGCACCCCATTTCGTGTAACTGTGGCGTCGTCTGTACACAAAATTAATTTCGTATAATCTTCATTTCTGCCGAACTGTTCTAAAAGCCACTGGCAAAATGCAACTCTTCTAGGATGATCTTTAGGTTGTAAAGCTTGTACCTGTTGGTAATCATAAGAATAATACTGTTCTTTTCGTATTGTCTTCCACACTTTACTATGAGAAACTTCAGCTGCTATGGCTCTAGTACTCATTTTTGGGCCGTCTTCGACCATTTCTAAAATGTCTTCCTCAAATTGTAACATTTCAGGTTGAGCAGGTCTTCCAGCGTGACCTCCTCATTGTTCTTTTAAATATCCTGTGTCAGAAAGTCTAGTAACTAAATTTATAAACATCCGGGGCCGGATGATTTCTTAAACCTTTCCGCATACAACCTGCGTGCTGAGGCTGCATTTTATTAGAACTCTCCGTATGTTAGTATTATGTCCACTAGTTCATTGTTTCCGTAAACATGGGCCATTTTTTCGCACAAAATAATCAGACAAATGGACTATTAAAAGACTGCTACTCGTATAACTGATCAAACCAAATACTCGTACTGAAAACCATATAATAACACAAAAAGTTTGCTAAATTTAGATAAACGATAAGGGTAGTAAACAAATAGTGCTCAGATTTTACTCAGCAGTGGTCGAGAATATCAAAAAATTGGTATAATATTCTTATTTTGTTAAATTTTAAATTTTTTACTATCTACCTTATTATGAAACTTTTATATAGGTGATTTTTGGTATATCAACCATGTATTGTGATATTTTGTCAACACAATTTAATGACGTATAGTATAACATTATAGGCAATACATACTTATAAAGTTGACTTTTGAAAAATTAAAAGACAGGATTGAAGGTTCTAAATAACTTGAGATTTAATTATGGAAAATGCTTCTGTAGCTTTCGGAACCAAAAAAAAGGTACTTACTTTTTTATTGCAGTAAATTATTTTCAAATAATATCTTTGTGCATCAGTGACATATTGATTTGTTATATTAACTTTTTAAATAGAAACAAAAAATGGAGAGCAAGATACAGCATATAATAATAATGATAATTCCTTCTTTGTAACTTTGAATAAAATGTTATGAGTCAATAGTGTTTTAATCTTTTTTATGGTTAGGTGTTAATAAAAGTATTTTGTATCAGTAAACAGTTTTATTGAGTTTATTTTACATTTTCATCATTTTCCTCTGTCAAATTCTGGAGTTTTCTTTTATGTCCCTATATAACATCCAGATCTTTAAATAAATGCATTTTACATCTGAAGAAAGTATTGTTGGGATCTGCCCTTACATACACTAATGGCGACGCTAAATTCATTAACGATTTAAAATGATTTTTTGTCAATTTTAATGCGCATGTGTCGAAAATATATATAATATTGTGTTACTGGTAACTCTTCAGAATCCATTGTTCGCAAGCTTGTTTGTTCTTTGGAAAACTGAAGAAACGCCAATTCGAAACGTCATTGGCTTTCTTGTTGTTGAACAACTCCACAACTACACAGTACATCATAGTTAATTCACTGTTCTTTAATTGTATTTCACACAGAGACCTATTTGAAACACACCAGATACGAACTAACGAAACTAATTAAAAATTACGTACCGAAGCGCCATATAAAACTGAACGTTTGTCGCTCATCTGTAGGGCATTGGTTTATCTTCTCGAGTAATAACATCATGGTGTAAACCTATGCTGAGCGACTCGGAGATTTCTGCTTCACCCTGGCATCTGCGAGGTATTTCTTAAATAATGTCTTTATTGTACTATGTGAAAAGGCAAAGTCTGACCCTAAGACCATTCATACTTAACTTTGATATTTCGAATATTTGACGACTCCTTAGGTGCTTTAGACAAATAAAAAGTTCATATAAGCAGGGTTCCGCAAAGCTTTCGTTTTCGGGTGTTGTAAATTTCTACAGGACAAAGGATGAATGTTGTTCAAATAACGCTATTGGGAGATAGCATTACTCTCCTAAAACTCTACAACATAAGGTCAAACTTCGCTAATGTCAGCTGTTTGCAAAGTTGAACACATTATTCGAAAACTCAATAGATGTTTAAAAAAAGTCAATGGTGTAAAAAATAATTTTCCTTTTTTAAAAGGGGTCAGAATTTCTCAATTTCTACGCTACTGGCATCGCCAGAGACAAAAACATTTTACCTGTTGGTTATGCTGTTAGTACTACATTTTTACAATTTTAAATTAATATCCTCATACATTCTAAAGAAATATTTTTTCCACTTCAAAATTATAATTTCAACACTGTATCTCGGTTTTAGGATAGACATTTATATCAGCTGTTCATGGTATTTTTTGATCTACTTTATGCCTTAGAAATATTGGGCGGTTGTTATTAAGAAACACCTTGTATACATGATTGACGGTTCTGGTTTTTTGTTGGTTACAGTTGGAGTTAAAAATATAATATCATTAAGACTTAGGTATTCAGTAGATACTTTTTTTAATGTTGCAGAGATGCATTTGCGGGAAAGTGGGCTGATAAAGAGGAAGGTGGAGGGGCTACCGAAAATGGAGGTGCAACAGAGAGCAAGGAGACTGAGATCCCTCCTGAAACCAACTTGGAAGAAATGGATAAATTTTTGAATAAAACAAAGAAAGATAAAAAGGAGGAAATGCTGGAAAGGAATAAGGATATTCTTAAGACTAAGGCATAGTGTGTCATACATCTCTGTTGTACACACCCAAAAAGCTGAATTCAATTCAAACCTTGCTTCTTTTCTTTGTATCCCTAGAATTATGGTTATTGTGTATTTGATTGTTTCCAGTACACAGTGTTAGTGTAATCCTGTACCAGTTTGTATAAAAATATAAGTGTATTCAGATGTCACAATAAAAAATTGATTCAAATTGTATTTATTTTATTGTTCCTATTGTCTGTAACATTGAATTTCAAATTTTTGTGAGTTGGTCAGAGTGCTTTTGGTAACAGTGTGAATTTTCCTTCATGCACGTTTCCCCTCTTTGTGATTTCAAGAATGATCTGTCGTATCGCATGTTTTTTTATATTTCAAAAAAGAACCCGGTTGAAGTTATTAAAAAGAATGTAAGTTTGAAATCCGCTATTATATTCCTTGCTGCGGAATCGCCTGCCGGTAGCTCATTGTGCTAGCTCAGTTGAACATTGGCTGCCGTGATTTTCTGACCCTTTTTGTCCCTTCCGTCTAAAAAATGCCGACTGTTTTGAAAGATTGTATCAAAAATTAAATCAAATCTAAATAACAGCGAGATATTCTCTCAAAGTGTGCTTAATGAATGTTTAAAATATGGCAAATTTCCCACAAAACTGATGTTTTCTACCATAACTCCTGTTTCTAAAGTTAAGAATTCTGAGTTGTGCACCAATATGCGGCCAATAAATGTCCTGCCACATGTTGAAAAAGTGTTTGAATAAATTACTCACGAACAGATCATCGAATTTATTGAGGGAATTAACATTTTAACCAAATTTCAAGCCGGATTCAGGAAGAAACACTCGACTGAAACAGCAACACAAATGGTTTAAGAGGACTGGAGAAGATATATGGACAATAGGAAATATACAGTAACAGTGTTTTTGGATTTCAAAAGGGCGTTTGAGACTATTGACATGGATACTTCACTTACAAAATTGCATGACTATGTATTTGAAGGATCTGTATTCAAAATTCTACAAAACTATTTAATAGACAGAAGTCAAAAAACCAAAATTAGATCTACATCATCAAGATAAAAAAATATTTCTGTTGATATACAAGGTAGTAAACTAGGTCCACTACTATTTATTTTATACAAATGACATTTGTAATATTTCAGATTATTGTAAAATTCAGATATTTGCAGATGATACATATCAGATGAAAATATAGACACTGCTTTGAAAATGCTCAATTCTGACTTGGCAAAAATCGTAAATTGGTTCAATGTAAATAAACTAAAATTGAATACTTCTGAAACAAAATGTATGCTAATAGGGAAACCTATCACAGGATAAATGTTGAAATAATTGAAAATGTTGAATCAATTAAATATTTAGGTATATATGTATTGATAGTAAAGTTTGAGGATCACTATGAATACATATTTCAAAAATTGCCAAAAAAAATACAAATTACTTTTATAGGCCTTCTCATAGTCTTAGTACGTATTCCAAAAAAATATATAGTTCCTTTACTATATTGTCCAACTATCTTGTTCACTGCCAATGAAGCTGTATTCTCACAATTACAAGTCCTGCAAAATAAAGCTATAAGAATAATATTGAATGAAAATAAGTACACCAAAAGAAAAACTGTTACAAGAATTGTAGTGGTTGAATATAAAACATTTCATATATTTGGTTCTTATTTTTATATTTAAAATAAAAAATCATCTGTTGCCACAACATTAAGAACACTACATAGAATTGAATAATCATTACCAAAATATTATTATACAAGAGGAAATATAAATTTTCATTTACAAAATTGCAATAGTAATATAATTAACAAATCAATATTTCAGAATGGGTTACTTGAATTTAGTAAACTAAATGATGATATAAATTATGCTTGTAATTCAAAGATGTTTAAGAGAAAATTAAAGGAATATTTCATGGAGAGAGACAATTCTTAGAGATGCAAGTTTTCTTTTTTTAAAATATCTATATGTAATTGCTTAGGTTTTTCGAAGAATGTACTCGTAATTGTAGCAATCATGCTAAGCTAAATAAATTCTTGGTTAAACTTCAGACGACCGCTGCCGAAGCTCGTATTTTGTTGAAAAAAGGTTTACGGCGACGAATGTCGCCCAATCAGGTTTAAGGAGGGGCGAGAAGAGATTCAAGATGGCCCACGACCTGGGCGACATTCAACAGTGATAACTGATGAAAAAATCGACACTTGGATCAGGAAAGCGTAATTGCGGAGAACATTTGACGTTGATTTTGCATGAGTAGTTGAACATGCTTAAAGTATGCTTCAAAGTTACCCCAAAAAACCGTGCACCTGAACAAAAGGACTTATAGTTGAACATTTGTGCTGACATCCTGAATACCATCAAACAGAAGCCCAATTTTTTGTTCCGCAAGGTGACAGCTGCATTAATGTACTCGTAATTGTAGCAATCATGCTAAATAAATTCTTGGTTAAACTTCAGACGACCGCTGCCGAAGCTCGTATTTTGTTGAAAAAAGGTTTAGGGCGACGAATGTCGCCCAATCAGGTTTAAGGAGGGGCGAGAAGAGATTCAAGATGGCCCACGACCTGGGCGACATTCAACAGTGATAACTGATGAAAAAATCGACACTTGGATCAGGAAAGCGTAATTGCGGAGAACATTTGACGTTGATTTTGCATGAGTAGTTGAACATGCTTAAAGTATGCTTCAAAGTTACCCCAAAAAACCGTGCACCTGAACAAAAGGACTTATAGTTGAACATTTGTGCTGACATCCTGAATACCATCAAGCAGAAGCCCAATTTTTTGTTCCGCAAGGTGACAGCTGCATTAAATGGACATTTTTGAATCAGATGATGCAGTGAAACAGAAAGCGACGGAAACGACGAACATGCTTACACAAAATGATTTTCAACACTGCTTCAATCGGTGAAAAATCCATATAGAACAGTGTAGGGATAGAGGACATTGAAGGGGATAATGTCAAAATTGTAAAGGAATAATAAAACATAATAATTTTATACTATTATGCCATAAAGTTAAATTTTTATTGAAAATACTTCCCAAAGAACATTTTTACAGGACCAAATTCTCATAGAATCTCTCATATGAACCCTATTTCACGAGTATCCATCACGCTTTGCCGTCTACCGAGGTGAACAGCTGATCTGAAAGTGACATTTTTATGTTACTCTGCAACGTTGGCAATAATGAATCGGGTATAAATCTAGTAAAACTTGTTTGTGGCGTTCTGTTTTTTGTATGTAAATGAACTTTTCTAAATAAAAGAGCCGTTGGCAAGAACAAAATGAATTTGTAGCGTACAATAAACCAAAACAAAATACGGCTCTGCCAAACTGGCGTTGACGGATCCGTCAGATTTCTGTGTCCTGTACCGATCTGGGGAACTTTGAGGTATTACTAAATAATCAGCTGCCATTCCACCGTGACGGATAATCGTGAAATAAGGTATACTATTGCTTTCATTCCTTATGTTAGGTTAATACTGATTTGTTAATTTGAATTTGATTCCTATATATTTGGCGTGGTCCAAACATAATGTGGTTTTGGAGCTATGGCCAGTTTATATTTGTCCATCATGTCCAAGGCATATAACACAGTTGTTATGTATCCAGTAACCTGAAAACTATTTTCATAAAAAAATTGAGATAGGTAGACCTAAAAATAACCTAATAATTCAATTTTCATTATAAATGTTCCATTTTGTCGCCAATACTATCATAGGCGCCATCAAGAATTTTTCTCAGGGGGGTCGATCATCGGCAAGAGATAACTTTTTGTGAAAGTATACCTGTCCCCAAAACTGTTTGGAGAGCAGGGGATATGGGTCGAATTCTAAACATCCTCAAAATTGTACACAAAATCATGCTAAATATGCAAATTTTAAGGCCAAACCGTAGGACACGGTGCTCCCCCTGGCCCCTTGCGAGAAGTAGCGAAAGCTAAAAAATCCAGTTTTTCTAACTATGGATGTCATGACGATGAGCGGTCCTCGTCTAACGTCAGAATGTGTATATTACATGTACACGTTGCCCGAGAGGGGCACCCTCGTGTAACACCCATGGTACCCAGGAGTTCTTACACCCTTTTGGTGGTACAGGTTTGAAAAAAATTGGTTTTACTTACCCCTAAAATAATATACCCTTTTGAAAGCCCTGAGATCACAATTGACGATGATACGCCATATAGTATCACCAAGAACAGGCCATTCATACATTCGATCCAGTACCAAGGAGTTTCACTTATTTTTTGAACTGAACTTAGATATAGTAGTAAGAAAAATGCTGATGTTACTAGAGCATAAAATGCAATGAAACATATTATGTAGGTTTTCAGGGTATATCCACATACTGCTGAAAGTATGACTATTAAAATGTTCATTCCCTAAAAATGCAAATGTTTACAGAATAGCTTCAGATTGCGAAATGTAGTTTTACCTCTTCTGTTAACGTTAGAATCCCTGTATATGTTTTAAGATGTTCCAAAACAGTTACTTGGGACTGGAAGGTAACCCATAATTAGTTATAAGATGAACAAACACCATAATTAATACTCACACTCATTTTTATATTTACGTTTTTGTATAATAAAAACAAAATACAAATCAACGCAAATGCAGCATTCGTATTTTTATCAATAAAAGATAAGCAGAAATTATCTTTGTAGATAAGATGGATATTTTTATTGTCCCTCCACCTTGATTGTTGCTGACGCCTTAACCGCGTTTAAAAAATCTGCTCTACCAGTTAAATATCGTTGGTAACGGCTTTTATTTTTTCCTATAAAAAACAATGATGGAGATGACAATTTCTTTTTGCGTAATGTCAACTCGACTGTGTGCCTTTATTACCACTGTCTGATGCTGAGAAAAAATTCCTTCATGGAGTATTGTTGGTAGGCCTATGTTGTCACATCGCATCTCGGAAAACTTAAGTATTAATTTTTATATGCTCTACTGACCATCCTTTACCGTTCTTTAAGAGCAGCGACAGACGGAGTAGGCTATAGACTTATTGAGAAAATACCCTCCAATATCTGGCAAGCGTCTCTCAACATGATACTCCTCAATATAACAGAAAATATGTTTTTTGAAGAACATGCTTAGGCTATAGTCTGGTACCAAAATGGAAGACATGAATCTTTCAATATGATGAGATATGACGAGATCCACACACACCCACCTTATCAATGCACAGGAACACAGTAAGTAGTAGTGTACCATTCTCAAAGAGATAGATGTTACAATTGTTATGAAGGATCTTTCCATCGGTCAAGAGTATCATCTTCTAAATGCTAGACTTCTTTGTTATGTGGGAAGTACATACAAAACACAAGCAGCATATCATGATAAGCATGAGTTGGATACATTTTTTCTAGCAAAAAAGTCATGGAAAACTTGATATGCTTAGTAGAAATGAATCAACTACATTTCCAGTTCAATCACTTTATTCATAGACTTACAGTATTCATATTATACAATAAAGATCAATAGAAGCCAAACGTTGATATGAAATTTTTATAGATTTGAAAAGCAGCAGACTTTAATCTAGTTTTTTGGCAGTGCGATCATGAGCATTGTTTATACATATATTGGAATTGTCACAGCCTACATCCTCATGTGTTGTGAATTCAAGTTATCAAAAGGTTCCTTGGTCTATTTTGGTAACATGTATATAATAAAATCATAGGCTAACAGGACATAGGTAATGTTCAATCAAAAGAGTTGCTCAAAAATTGATTATGATCAGATCGGTTCACATTCTTTCTTCAAATCGATACAATTTTTGCCACAACTACCACCACAACATTGCTCTTTATATGGTACATTGTCAATTTTTAAGGTATCACTAGTGATTTCAGCTTGGAATTTCCCAGGTGCTATCTCCTTAGCCTGTATAACGCAGGTCCTCAACTCCTTCTCTACTTGCTCTGCATATTCTATTAATTCTTCTATTCCTCTTAGATTTGTTGTATTCTGGAATTTCCTATATTCTCCGTTAATCTGTTTTCGAGCTTCTTGAAGGGCTCTTTCGTCGCCTTTAAATACCCTTTTGCGAGTTTTGTGGAGTTTTTTGAAGGTTTCCAACACTCTTGACCGATACTGTGACATTTTTTTTCTACTTCAACGGTATTAAAACTTGATCTTAATAAAATAGTTTTATTTTCAAACCTTATATAACCTTAACCTCAAAATTGTATGTCATTTCAAAATCAAATCAAGACACTTGTCAAGACATACTTTACTGATAGAGATGGGAAATCGGGACGGGTATTATGTAAAAACCTAGAAAACGTCAAATAAAACCCATAAAATGTCATCTTGATCTTGCAGACTAGGTAAAGTTTGGCAAACGGATCTGCAACATGGGGGTATCGGTGAGGGGAAAGCAAAACATGGCTGGTTTCATTCATAAAATGCCAGCGGCGTGCGGTATTTTATAAAAGTTTGGGATTATTTCATAATTGGTTTAAATTTAGTAAACTATACGTTTATGTTTCACTTTAAATTTGGGGAGTATCTCAATAAGCCCACAATGATATGGAGCATTGTCCATAATAATAAATAAAGTCTCGGGTAAACTCAAAAATAGCTGTATCTCTACAATCTACACCATGTAAAAAAACACTTGAGTTTGTTTCTACACTTCAACAAACGGAAAAATGTCTACTCACTTCCCAAATTGCCACAATTCAAAAAATCATGATAACTGCGCGATTTAAAACCTAAATCAAGCTAGCGTTTTTGTCAAAGCCGTAAATAAAATATATTTTTCAAATACAAATAGATACTTAACGTGGTTTTTTACCATGAGAATATATATATATGTATATATATATATTATACATTCGTGATCTTATAATATGCTCATTTACTTTAAAAAGTGCCACAAGCCGAAACATGACCAGAATGAATTTTTATTTTATAATCCGCATCTTTCTGGATTCCTATTGTTGCAATTTTGGACTGTTGATGTGGATATTTCTAGAGCATCGGTGTCGCTTAAGTAGAAACAAAGAACTTTAAACACATTTCATATCCGTTTAACTTATAACCTCTGTAATAAATAATACTTACATTATACAGCATTTCAAAATTACATTTCACCTATTGAATTAGCATTGGTGTTCGTCAACTTCATCATTATCATCATCGTCACTGTCGTCATCAGTTTCGCTGTCGTCATCTTGCCCTATAGTTACTATAACTGGTTCCATTTCCTCCATAAATTGATCATTTTCCCAAAATTTATCTTCAATGTCCCTAGCATGTTGACAAAATTTCTGCCAATCATTAATGGATATTAAGGACATCGCTTCCTGAGTAACTTCTTTCAGTGCGGTTAAACTGAAGTTTCCAGTGGTATTGCGGCTTCTTATATGAAATTTAAGCTTTGCCCAAGCTAGTTCTATTGGGTTTAGCTCGCATAAATAAGGAGGTGTTCTTAGAGGAGTATGTCCATGTGATCTTATGATCCGATCAACTACATAATTTTTTTGGTTGTCAGGGGGCTTATGAAGTAAGACCAGATCGAACAAGTCAAATTTTCTGGCAGTTGCCTCATGATTTATGCCTATAAAATATTTTATTGTATAGTTTGATATGTACATGCATGTTTTGAGTCATAAGTACATTTCTTTGTCAACCAGGCCATTATATCTTTTTTCGAAGATGATTTTGTCGGGGTTTTAACTTCCTGGACGGAATGATATGGAGCATTGTCAAATACTATAACCGAATTGGCAGGTATATTCGGGAGGAGTTTTTCTGTGAGCCAACGTGTGAAATTTTCCCGATTCATCTGACCGTGGTAATCGCCTGTAGCTAATCCCGCCTTAAATATCAAACAGGCATTGTCAACAAATCCATTTTCTGAACCTGCATGCACTATAATGAGTCGACCTAAAATATACAAGACGATTATATAATATGTTACAAATCAGAGTTAAATTTAACATATATATATATATATATATAGCATTTTTGCTTACCTGTAGAACCTATACTGCTTATTACACCAGAAACAGTTTCGCTCTGCCAGCATTTTTTGAAAGTCAAGTCATTGTCCACCCAGGTTTCGTCCAAATCAACTATATTGCGCCCTTCTTCACGATATCTACGTATTTCACGGATGTATTTGTACCTCCATTGCAATATATTGGGCCTCTCCATCAAAACTTTTCTTTTATTTTGACATTTGCGCCAAAAAAAACCATTTGATTTTAATAAACTCCTGAGAGTTTCCCTAGAATAGGGGAAATTTGAGTCTTCTCGCAACTTTTGTAATAACTTCCTAGTTGTCGGGACAACTTTATATTCAAGATAAAATCTGTTTATCAAATGTCTAATAATCTGAAAATCAAAATCTTCATCTTTCTCAACAAGAGACTGACGCGGTCTTTTTTTTCCGGGACTGGATAACATTTTATTCGGGTTATTTTCTAGTCTTTCTTTATCTTCGTTATGAATTTTCCTAACAGAAGATACTCCGACTCCGGTATAAAGGGACACCCTATCAAGCTTACGTTTAAGCGGCAACTTGAGGGAATTGTTTGCCGCTTCCTCATCGCAAACCCTATAAATAATCATCAGAATGTTAGCTTAGCATTTCCTTGTTTTTTATTTATATTCAGACTCAGTCGTCAAAAACTACAATTATTGCATATTATTATTACTAACCTATAAACATTCGCAATCACTTCTCTTGTTTGGCTATGAAGCGTCTTTCCGCGATTAAATTGGTTCATTTTAAAAAAATAATACTAAAACGAATAACAATATCAAATAACAAAACACTAAACTATTCAAAAACACACAGCACTAAACATACAAACTTAATAGAACAATAAATAGTTAACAATAATAGTTGTAAAACTCATACACGGATAAAACCTACGCCACTGGACTTTTCAATAGTATGGATATTCTAAGAAAGGAGCAAAAAATTGTCTGGGACGCTACCCAATAGGGAGTCGAATTTTCTCATGGCGACAAAACATGTGAGGATATCTGCCAATCAGATTCGTTTAGGCGGTGTCCAATATACCTTTCGGGTGGTTGTTGCCAGCTCAACCGATGTAGATAAGATCTTTGGAAAAATGTTTACTTATAATACGATTCAGTAGTAAAAAATAGTTAGTAAATACAAATAGAGCTAACAACCCATTAAAATTCTCAGTATTTTGAATTAATATTTTTTGGAATTGTGAAAAATCGATTTTCAAATCATTGAAATTACTTTTATTATTATTATTGCTTTTTTGTAGTTAAATTTGGCAATATCGAATATTTTCGGTCGCATTCCTTACGCTGCTGCAGATCCGTTTGCCAAACTATAGTTAAGGTGCAAACCATTGCAAACAGTCATCATGTTTGCTTACTATTCTCGTTGTGAGTTGTGAGCGTATGGAGGAATGGCACAACTATACCACTACACGCATTGTTGGTTGCATATGTTTTGCGAAGCCAAGTTGTCTATAGTTTTCATCTCTAATGAGAAAGTTGGTTTAACAGCAAGATCGCATCTGGATGATCGTGTGCATTGGTCTGCTTGTGTATAAAATCAGTGATATTTGCTGTGTGAGAAAATCATTACTGAATATGCTGCCAATGAAGTATATCTATTTGCTGTGTTCGTCGGGTTATTTATATGTTGTCCTTTCTGAAGTCAGGTTATGTTCAAAGTTATAAATTACGATTTCTTGCGCTTTTTTGTGTTTTCAAAAACTGTTAGCATGTACATATTGTATGACTTGTAATTCGACAGCGTACAATGGATATAATTACTTCTTATCTCTTACATTTTTGAAATTCAGCAAATTTGCATTATGTAATCTCCAGAATGGATAAGAAAAAGTGGATGCGCAACTAATTCCTAGCTTTGAATCTGAAGTAAGTGAATGTGAGACAAGAATCGAATGGAACTATTATCAACACATATTGTTAGCACACAAATCTTCACTATAGCATCTATTACACAGGGCGAGATTAGTAGTTACTCGTCAGCGAATTTACTCGCTGCTATAAAAGTCGTCAAATGTCAAATCGCAGCTGCTAGTAAACTCGCGGCTCGCTTTTTCCCAGCGAGTAAAGTTGAACACCGGCCTACTTTTCTCGCTACTCGCTCGCAATTTTTCTCTCTGACGAGTGAAAACGCTATGTGCTTGTAACGCTTCCTTTCCGCAAAAAGTCCAGAAAAGATGGAATGCAATGAAGATTCCAACTTTTCTGCACAATCACAGAAAGGGGGTTACCATTAGCTTCCGGTAGCTCAGTCGGTGGCATGGAGACATCTACAGGCGTGTAGCTGTGTGTCGACCATGGCATGGCTAGAGGATAGAAGAACAAACAGAACACAAAAATTTAACAGATTTTATTTAACAAAAAAGCATTTTCATTACATTACAATTTTAAAGTTTTAAAGAACAAAATAAGTTTTAAATCTTTGGCGCTGCTATAAAACTATCAACTTATCTTTCGCTGGTCCATTTTGATTGGACTGAAGCGAGGATGGCCAGGTGCTTGAAGTGGAGGTCCCAGTTATGAGGGGTGACCTCACATTTAGTGGCTTCAAAACCAGTTGTAGGCGAAGTTGAACTTAAAGGTGATAGCGCTGCCAAGGCACATGCATGGGTGAAGTGATAGGCCAAGCAATGCAAAGTCAAAGACAAAGGCAAAAGCGAAGTCAAAGACAAAGGCAAAAGTCAAAGACAAAGGGAAAGGGAAAGAGAAAGGGGGTGGCCCCAATCATTTTGTCCTATTCGGACACACATTCTACAAAATTCTAGCACATGGTGCTATATGACCTCATGCTACAGAGAACAACATTCTTAGCTCTTGCTAGATCGGCGGCTCAAGTGAAAAAGAAAGCGCGAGGAAGATCGCAGATCAGGAACTCCGCATCAAGCGCCCTCCAAGCGGAAATTTTTCCAAGTAAAAAAGCTAGAGATGGGATTAATGAAATGATAATCGAGAAGTGATTTAATAAATACGATCGGACGGTGAAACCGTTACACTCGCCCCTACTTAACAAAAAAAAAATCGAAGAAGCATTCAAGAATTTTTTTTTAACAAGGAAATTGAAAGTTATCACGGAAGGACAAATGTACAACCATTCGACCAGATAAAACAAGTAGCAAAAGTAAGGTAGATACAAAAATGTTAGAAGAGAATTGGAAGAAAAAGGGATAGCCTACCAAACAAGAGGGATGGTTATAGCACCAACTCGCTGAAAAGTACAGTGAAGTTGCACTATCATCATATGATGAACAACCCAACACATAAAACATCGTCACACCTAGGACGAGAAAAATAAACCAAAAGCTTCAGCAGTAGTCCAAGCACGAAGTGAGGAATCACAATAGCATCCAAAATGCACGACTGACTACTAAAAATTTCAAAACTAAGTAAGTACCTAAACCATAGGGGAAAGTCGCCTATATCTTACTGGCTCCTTAATCGTACCTAGTCGATATTTCAGATATTACGCTTATGTGTAAAACATCTTTCACCACAATTAGAAACCATAAAGTTGTAGCAGTAGCGCGTATCGCTGCGGACATATTTAACGTTTTATTTTGTGCGGCAAAGTGATATAAAGTTTGGTTGATCTACCGTAAGTAGTTTTGGATATTTTAGTTGACTAAGCCTAAAATCTATTGTATCCCTTTAAGATTAACAACTTTTATACACTTTTTGATAACTTTAAACATAACCTTATTTCTATAATTTCCAGAAAAACTTTATTTTTATTTATTTGGTGTAAAGTTGCCTTGATCGTACTATTAGAGATTGCCTAAATCGTACCGATACGATTAAGGCAATTTATACTGGTACGATTACGGAAGCTATGCAGTAACAGTTTTTTTACTTTTTTATAGATAATGGGAGAGCCAAATGAAAAGAGAAAGTACGGACAGTAGTCTGAAGCTGACATGAAAGCAGCCTTAAATGTTTTTCGTGAGGGAAACATAGGTTTTAATGAGGTTTGTCGTCAATACAGTATCCCAAAACCAATATTTAGGAGGCATTTAAAGTCCTATAATGTTAGAGCCAATGAATCAAAAAAAATAATAGGTCGATCGTGTAGTTTTTCTGCGGAGATGGAGGAAGACTTGGAAAAGCATATTTTAACACTAGAGTCAATTTTTTTTGGAGTGACTATTCGAGAAGTAAGGAAGGCTGCCTTTGAATTCGCTGAACGCAATGGTCTTAAACATAATTTTAATAAAATCACAAGGATGGCTGGAAAAAAATGGATTTATAGCTTTATGAGTCGCCATCCACAACTTTCCTTGAGACAACCAGAATCAACTTGTAAAGGTTTCAACAGAAGCAATGTTCAGGAGTTTTTCAATATTTTAGAAAAACTCGTTGACGATCATGCTTTGACTGCTCCGAAAATATACAATGTCGACGAAACGGGTTTTTCTACTGTACAAAAAAGATGTCAGAAAGTGCTGGCTAAAAAAGGAAAATCGCAGGTTGGTGTCATAGCTAGCGGCGAAAGAGGTGTGAATACTACATTTGTATGCTGCGCAAGTGCTGCAGGTCAATACGTGGCACCAATGGTAATTTTCAAGAGGAAAAGGATGGCGCCAGAGCTGGCAGATGGAGCTCCCCCAGGATCACTGGTCGAAATAACGGATACTGGTTACACTAACGCCGATTTGTTTGTTACTTGGTTAAAACATTTCATTGCTGCAGTTAAACCTTCAAAAGAGGATAGAGTGCTTTTGGTTTTAGATGGACACACCACACATTCGAGAAATTTAGCAGCCATTGAGATGGCCCGCGAGAATGGGGTTATTATTTTACAGCTGCCAGGTCATACCACCCACCGTTTACAACCACTTGATGTGGCAGTATTTAAGCCATTCCAGGTCTATTATGACCAATCGGTTGAAAAATGGTTGAGAGAACATCCCGGGAGGACAATCGGTCAATTTCAGGTGGCCCGATTAATCGGAGAAGGATATGGAAAAGCAGCATGTGTCGCAAATGCCATAAGTGGATTTAAAAAATGTGGTATATGGCCTGTGGATAGAAACGTTTTCACAGATGTTGATTTTGAAGGCGGAGATGTTCTTCAAACTGAACCAAAACCAAAAGCACTAGCGGAAAGCAAGGACGCTGACGATACACCTTCGAGTGATGATGATGTGCCCTTGGCGCTTTTAGTTGAAAAACAGAAATCGTGCGCCACCTCTGAAACTCGACCACTCGATGTTTCTTTCGAAGACATTCTACCAATTCCAAATAGTCCTGGCAATCAGAAAAATGCAAGTAAACGTGCACAAGCGGCAAAAGTTTTAACTTCAACCCCACATAAGGACGAATTAAAACCAAAGCAATCTACTATCGAAGAAAAGAAAAAGAGACTGGCAAAAAGAAAAATAGGAATAGCCAATGGCCAACCGAAAAAAAAAAGTAAAAAGGAAAAATGCTTCTCTATGGTTCAAATGACGTAGTGGTAGAAATACTAGAGAATCAGTGGCTTTGTGTTATATGTAATGAGTGTCAAGTAGAAAATATGATACAGTATTCCTTGTGCAAGCTTTGGGTCCATGAACTTTGTGTGAGTGATGAAGCAAGTTCTTCGTACTTTTGTGACAGTTGTTCCTAAATAACACATCTAGTTATTATTGCTTGTCCTGTCGTTTTTTAAATATTAAAATATTAAAATTTGTATTCTTGTTTAAATACTACTGTTATGCTACCATACTTAAGTGGTACGATATAGCAGATCAGTACGATTTAGGAAACCTGGTGGTACGATTTTGGCATCTGGTTTCCCAAGTCGTACCATTTGCAATGTTTATAAAAAATGTATTTTTCTCTTAAATTAGATAACTGGTCATAACAAAAGAAAGTAGAAATATGTAAAAATCATTTAGTTAAATATTTAAAATGAAAGCAGCCCCTTAATATTGAAAATGCTAGCTTATTATACATGTTTCCGAAAAATGGTACGATTTAGGCGACTTTCCCCTAAGAGGTACTAAAAAAATAATAATAATCTTTCTCAAAACAATTGCCAGATTATCTCGCAATACTCCAAACCCAAAAAGAATATCATCTACAGTGATATTTTAAACCAATATCCAATATAAAAAACTGTGCATTACTTTTTTTCAAAACATGAAAATCAAAAGAAATTAACAAATTCTAATAGGAATTCAAGTCATATAACAAAACAATTTACAAGTACTAAACCAATGAAAACTTGCTCAAGAAGGTATTTTACTTAAAAAATATGTTAACTAAGTGCTGTTCTGATTCCACAAAAAAATTGTCGGGCGCCAGCAGTCTGTAAGACTACAAAATAATTCAAAATGTTTTCAGAGAATTAAAGTCAAAATCTAGCTTAAGTTCCATCAATGAACTAAAATTCAAGAGTAAGTTCAATCAAAATTTTCGGGTCATGTGACAACATAAGAACCAGACCAAAAAAAAAAATATTCTGAAGTTCAATATAGACAAGAGCAAAATAAATTTCCAAAAAAAAACTAAGTGCAACACAAGTGCAACTGTAAATCTAATAGTATTAAGATCATAAAATGAAAGGAAATATCAAAGCTATATGAGCATGATTTTATGAAGGATTCTCAAAAAAACACAAAAGTAAGCAAAATATTAAAAGTTTCATGAGTAATAAATGAGAAACGAAGTGAGCAAATGTAAAATGCAAAATAGCGAAACGAAAATCACAAGATATTTTAATAAATCATGATACATGAGAGTAATGCCGCAAGCAAAAATTGTATGCAAAAGTCTACGATATATGCAGGTGCAAAATTGGAGTAATAAAAGAACAATCTAGTGAACAAGAAATAGAAGTAAATATGATAGGTAAGAATTCGAATGTTGATTTAAAGCAAAAATATGAGAGAAAGACAACTTTCTAGGGTCACCATAGGTGCACTCCAAAGCCCTAGACAAGAATGTCTATAGTCTATGGAATATTCTCATGTAGATCACTGATATCAGAAGCGCACTTCAAAGTCTACACTGAGAATAACCATAACATTGTAAAATGAAAGTTAATTTCAAATATGAAATATTACAAGATTAGAAAAACTATAATAATTTACCAGTGTAAAGTATGGAAAAAGAATTATTATACTGAATCTATAAGAATTGGCGATTACTTCAAGTCAAGACAGAAATTGAAAGAAATAAGAAGTCGAAAAAAAAATTATGAGAGCAGACTATCAAAACAAATGCAATAATGCAAAAGCAAAATCACCAGATATTTCAAAATCTATAGCGAAACATGAAAGCAATGTCGCAAGCAAGCTCAAGACTTAGCAATACGCACAAATGTGCACAAAGGCTGAAAGCATATATGAAAAATCTCAAGAAAGAATTGACAATTACTTCAAATCAAATTGAACTGATTGAATTGAACTGAGACATAAATTACTATATCAAAAGTGAGTTTTACTTATACGCCAGAGGTTTCAAGAGTTTATCAATACGCACAGATTTGCAACTAGGCGGAAAGCATATATGACAAGTCTCAAGAAGAAAATAAAATGCATATGAAGAAAACACTTTCAATTAAAGAAACTGTGGATAGTACAAGACCCTCAAAGGCATACATCGCAACGAATCTATGTAACTATCCAGACTACAAAATACTGTCAAAGTTCAAAACCACTCAAAAACATGTGAACAAACATCAAAAGTTTGAACCAAAAATCAATGTAAGTCTGTGCTCTCGTAGAAAGTTATGATTAATTCAAAAACAGGATACTATCAAAAATTTCAAAAGTAATGGACTTCAAAAATAGAGGTACGTAAGTATGTAAAAGAAATTCAGAAAATATACGCATAAAAACATTATAAAATATTATACACAGTATTTGTCACATGATTTTGATCGGGAATGCAATTTAAATTTTGAGTACACTCAGAAAAATGAAATATTCAAAAGATGAAGTATACACATTAAATTGGAATCAGAAAAATAATTATGACTTGTAAATTTTGTAAATGCTGGAGTGACGTAATAGTTCAAAAGGTTGAAAGAACAACAATGTTAAATGTCCAAAGTAAACATTCAACTGCCTTTTACAGAAAATTAGCTTAACAATTATCAAAGGAAATTCGTATCCGTTCGCATCTGTACTAGGAAATAAGCATAGGAAAACCTACTCGATCCAATGTACAGATCGAAAAACTCGCCCCCTTCGATTGAGCGGAAATATGAGTATTGGACAAATTGTAATATTTCAAAAGGTTGAAGGATCAACGATGTTAAATGTCCAAAGTAAACAATCAGCTGGCTCTTACATCAAATAAGTTTAATCATTATCAAAGGAAATTCTTGTCCGTTCCCATCTGTACTAGGAAATAAACATAGGAAAACCTACTTGCTCCAATGTACAGATCGAAAAACTCGCCCCCTTCGATTGAGCGGAAATATGAGTATTGGACTGATTGTAATATTTCAAAAGGTTGAAGGATCAACGATGTTAAATGTCCAAAGCAAACAATCAGCTGCCTCTTACAGCAAATAAGTTTAATCATTATCAAAGGAAATTCTTGTCCGTTCGCATCTGTACTAGGAAATAAACATAGGAAAACCTACTCGCTCCAATGTACAGACCGAAAAACTCGCCCCCTTCGATTGAGCGGAAATAAGTATTGTTAAAAATGATAATGATTAAGCAAGAATTATTTATCTGAATTTTAGTATATCAGAGTATATAAAGCATAATAATACACAAAAGCAAAAGTTATTCGCTGTCCGAATCAGAACTCTCACTCATTACATCATTACGCAAAACATCAATACCATTGCCATGATCAACATTCAACGTATTATCAGGTTTCAAGTCTTTAACATGAAAATCTCCCAAGATATTACCATGGAGATCTTTCAATGTGTATACTAACGGAGATTTTACTATATGAACAATACAAGGAAGGAATTTTGGACTTAGTTTGGCACAAAAGTGGTCTGCAGCACTTGATTGAAAGAAATTGCGTTTGAGAACTCTATCACCTTTATTGAATTGCAGATGTCGTCTACGCAGATTATACCTATTTCTATTAAGTTCGTAGGAACGCCGCATTCTGTGCTGGACTGTAAGGTAAAATTCTGGAATTTGCTGAACAAAATTTGGATCTATGACGACGATATTGACTGGATTATTGGCAACAGGTGCAATCTTTCCATAGAATGACCCATCAACTGGTACATTTCTGTAAAAATTTAGAAAGCTGGGCGAGTATCCTGTGACTTCATGTTTAGCAAGTCTGATTGCTTGAGCTATTTGATGAATAGACTCATCCCAAGTTTTATGAGAGTCTTTGATATAGGACCTAATTGCAGTAACGATGGTTCTGTTAACTCGCTCAGTAGGATTTACCTTCTGCACTTTATATGAATCTGCAAGCGCTTTAAATTCTTAGGAGATGAACTGTGGACCATTATCTACAACGATGATTTGAGGAACTCCAAATATAAGGAAAACTTGATTTTCTAAAATTTTTACAATTGAGCTTGAAGTTGCCTTAGGCATTGGATGAACTAGTACAAGTTTAGTGCACCAGTCACAAACTACTAAAAGAAAACGATTGCCTTTTTTAGAACCAGGATATGGTCCTAAAAGATCTGCTGAAATCATTTGAAATGGATACTTGATGTCTCTATATTTACCCATTAATCCAGCTTGAGGTAAATTACTAGGTTTACATTGTGAGCAAACTTTGCATGAGTGTACATAGAACTGAACAGATTGCTTCATTTTAGGCCAATAATAAATAGCTGATATGCGAGATAGTGTTTTAAATACTCCTAAATGACCAGAAGTAGGATCATCATGATACATTTTGAGCAATTTAGATCTATTTGGAGCTGGAACAACGATTTTCCAGTCAGTATAAGTTTCTGCAAGTGGATTATCAGAAAGAATATGTTTGTATAGAATATTATTTTCTACTTTAAAAGATGGATACAATTCAGGGTTGTTTTCAACCTTACGTATCATTTTACGATACCACTTGTCAGGAGATAATTCCGTAAGATCTAAAACTGACACATTAGCCTCATTTTCATGCAAACGCGAAAGAGCATCTGCTACAGGTATATCTTTGCCTTTACGATGAATGATTTTAAAATCATAAGGAGAGAGACGACATAACCATCTGCATAGTCTAGGTGAAGGTGTTTTTTGAGATCTCAACCACTGCAAACTTGAATGATCATAAATAACAAAAAAATGTGTGTGCTCAATGTAACAACGGAAATGTTCAATACTAAGAATGACTGCAAGGAGTTCTTTTTCAGTTGTAGAGTATTTTCTTTGGCACTTGTTGAGAGATTTACTGAAATAAGCTATGGGATGTTCCAAACCATTTTCTTCTTGATAAAGTGTGCCTCCCACACCAGTATTTGAGCTGTCACAACAGATATAGAAGGGCTTGGAGAAGTCTGGACTAGCAAGAATTGGAGCGCTGGTTAGCAAATTCTTAATTTCTTTAAAAGCATTGTCAGCATCAGGAGTCCAAGTGATAGGTTCACCCTTCTTCCGATTTTTAAGCAAGTCTGAAATTGGAGAAGATACACCACTAAAATTGTTAAGGAAACGACGATAATAGCCAAACATTCCAATCAACCTTCGAATCTGAGTAGTATTAGTTGGTTGAGGATATGATAAGAGTGCAGATACTTTTTCAGGGTTTGTTCTAAGTCCTTTCTCATCAACAACATAGCCTAAGAAAGTCAAAGATGAGCAAGCAAAATGACGTTTATCAAAATCTTCAGTCAAGTTAGCATCTTTCAATCGATTATAAACTTCTTTCAGTATCCTTAGGTGAGTTTCAAAATCAGGAGTTGCCACATGAACACCAGGCACTGCTGCAAGGTTCTATAATACCCATGTCCAACATTTCATCAACTTGCTTAATAAGAGCTTTTTCCATTACATGAGAAAGCGGATATTGTCTTTGCCTGATGGGCTTTGCATCACCTGTGTCAATGTGATGTGTATATAAATGTGTACAACCAATACTGTCAGTAGGTGCAATACTATTAAAAAGTTCAACAATTTCAAATAATTGTTCCTTTTCCATATTAGATAGCTTCTCCATACCTTGAATACAATTTACAGCACAAGATTGATATGAAAAAGTATGAAAATCAAGGTTGAAATTGAATTTTAGGATGAAATCCATGCCTAAAAGTAATGTGTGTGTAATGGAAGGAACTATTATGAATTTAATGACATAACTTTGCCATTAAAACCTACTGGTAGCAAAACAAAACCTAAAGTATTTTGCATCTGGCCATCAGCAATTGTTAATTGCAAGGTACTACTGTAATCGATGTTGAGATATAATTTACGTAATAAGTATAAGCCAGATGAACCTAGAATGTTGGCATTGCTTCCAGTATCAAGCAAAGCTAAAATGTTTTTATCACCAATGGATATTGAAAGATGTGGACGATTGTCATTTGGTTTTTGAATAAATGGTTCTGAATGATCATTTGATGGCACACCTGCAAGTCGTGAATGATTAATGTCAAAATCGGGATTAATTGCTGAAGGTTGTCTTAACTTGGCTATTGGTTGGACTTCAGAATGAGACCTGGAGTTGCTTTGCCCTTTACGTCTATGACTCCTCGAGTCTGGGCGAAAGAAGTTCCGGGAGTCGGATTGGAAACTTCTTGCCTCACGTTTTTTGAACAGGAAGGACAATTAGAGCGTGTGACATTTTTCATACCACAGGTATAGCAATAAACAGCCTTAGGAGCTCTACAATCTCGAACAGAATGTCCTAGTTTCTCGCAGTTCCAACATACAGGAGCTTTTCTGTGAGATGATGGAGTACTATCAGAAGTAACCAAGCTGGAAGTGGAATGTCTATTGTGGGGTTGACAAGTCAAGAAGGAATCGTCTAATTTCCTACAAAGTGATGTTAGTTCAGGAAAAGTGGAAATTTCATGAAGAGCAAGTGACTTTATGAAGTCAGGCAATAAATTTCTACGGACAATATTGACCATGTCCTTTTCTGTAAATGTATTGTAGGTTAATCTATTGAATTGAGATTCCATGAACGAAATGAAGATCGTAACATGTTCATGCTGACCTTGTTTGCGTCTACGAATCTCATCAATTAGGTTCATATCATAATTGTCACGTAGGAAAGCATCCTTGAGTTGTTTAATCAAGTCCTGCCAATCATGAAAGCTATTTCTTAGATGGCCATTATGCCACCATGTCCAGGCTACATCTTCAAAGAGATCACCTGCAGATGCAAAGAGATCCATCTCATTGCAACCACGGGAAGACATTAGAGATTCGACAATTTCTAGAAATTCAATAACTGAGCTATTTCCAGAAAATTTTTTGATTCCCCATTTGAAAACTGGTATCTTTTTATGTGGAGCAAAATTTATAGGAGAGACTGGCTGTGTATGTACTGGTGGAAATACTTGAGGATTAGCAACAGTCACAGGCGGATTTGATGCCAATGGAATAGGACGAGATAAAACTGACGGAGGAGATGATTGAGCAGATGGCATCTGAAGCTTCTCTAAAAGATCAGATTCACACACAACAAGTTGTGTCTTCAATCTAGATTTTGTACTTATCTCCTCATCACAAGTAGGAGACATTCGATCTATCCTACCAGATAGATGCAATAAGCGCACACAAATTCTGCGATGTTCAACAGAATCAAATGCACCAGTAAATCTAGAGATCATCTCAGTGAGTTTATTGAATGAGAGGCTTATCTCAGTCTCATCCTCATCAAAAGGAATAGTCACAGAAGGTTCTGAGAAACTACGCCCTTGAAATTCTTGTGCTAATAAGCCACGTAAAACTTTATTTTTATCCTCCACGGTATTAGGGACTTCCAAACCTCTGATATGAATCTCGTAGTGGAGTTCATGACTTAATAAGTCATTTGGGCTTAGTCTAGACTGAACCATGATTGAGAAATAAACCTCAAAGAAACACTTGAAAGAAAAAAAAAACCTGAATACGTCAAGAAATAACAAGGATCTAAAACACTATAAATAAACTAACAATACAAACAAAAAGTTTTAATACAAAAACAGGAGCAGCCAAATCTTAAAAAAAATATTTTATATCTGACGTACATTAAAAAAGTACAGAGACGTTCAAGTGCTGTTAATCCAATGGAAAATCAGACACTAATGTTCTAATTTCCCCCAAAGAATATGCCAGACAAAACTATAAGGCATTAAAATTATGAAAACTTATGCTCCAAACAAGAGACAAAATTACTACAATAGTTACTGAGGAACGTATACTATTTCAACAACAAGTTGAAATTTAATTATCATAAATGAGTATGTGTGTCTTTGTATAGGTAAAAATGATTTAGGAGTCACCCCCCCCCATTGAAAAGTAGCAAAAATATAGTCAAGAAAAACATCATTTGTTCCTTGAAGAAAAAAAGAAAGGTAAGTATCAACGCACTTCCAAGTGTCAATACTTAAAAAAAAAGTAAACCGCCAAAATATACGAAAAATTATGAATATCAATTTCATACAATTCAGACAAATGGATAAATCGCAAAATGATTTACTCCAGATAACTCTAGTCAGTAGATTATTGCCATCAGAATGAAAACAAATGATCAAAAGTTCAAGTACAGTCAAAAATTCAAAAAGTAAAAACATTTGGGGAAGGCAAAAATAATTTTGAAAGTAAATTTCCTACGTACCAAACATCATGAGAGCTATATCAGTACACCAGAGATCCAACAATTAGGCTATATATGCATACATGAAAAGTCTCAAGAAATCAAAAAACTGCACATGAAGAAATACTTTCAAAAACTAAGAGGTTAGTGATCAAAAATGAAAAGCATATAAGAATATATAAACTATCAACAACAATAGTCACAACCTCAATCAAAAGTTTGATGATATTCGACAAAAATGCTGGGAAACCTAAAGTCCCCAGACTATCAATATTCAACAAAAAATTATCAAAATATCATCAATCTCAAAAGTACAATGAGAAAAAAGTTATAACTGTCCCCAGCAGTAAATAAAAACTATAGTAGTATGTGATAAAAAAAAATCTGGCAATGATCTCGCTGACTACTAAACAAGACAATTTAAAAGTTAATAGTATGCCTATGAAATAAACAGGTGGAAAAATTTTAATCTTTGAAATAAAAATTTTAAACATTAAGCAAAAAGTAAGGATGATTAAAGAATTAGAAATTTGAGTACCAAAAGCAATTAAAAATAGAAATGCTGCCAAAAATTGTAAAGAATTTTGAAAACTATGTTCTGTCTGCCAATCTTCCACTAGCAAACCACTTGTCGACAAAGCCAAACACCAATCGAAGCCTCACGTTGCGGGTGCCAATTTATGTAACGCTTCCTTTCCGCAAAAAGTCCAGAAAAGATGGAATGCAATGAAGATTCCAACTTTTCTGCACAATCACAGAAAGGGGGTTACCATTAGCTTCCGGTAGCTCAGTCGGTGGCATGAAGACATCTACAGGCGTGTAGCTGTGTGTCGACCATGGCATGGCTAGAGGATAGAAGAACAAACAGAACACAAAAATTTAACAGATTTTATTTAACAAAAAAGCATTTTCATTACATTACAATTTTAAAGTTTTAAAGAACAAAATAAGTTTTAAATCTTTGGCGCTGCTATAAAACTATCAACTTATCTTTCGCTGGTCCATTTTGATTGGACTGAAGCGAGGATGGCCAGGTGCTTGAAGTGGAGGTCCCAGTTATGAGGGGTGACCTCACATTTAGTGGCTTCAAAACCAGTTGTAGGCGAAGTTGAACTTAAAGGTGATAGCGCTGCCAAGGCACATGCATGGGTGAAGTGATAGGCCAAGCAATGCAAAGTCAAAGACAAAGGCAAAAGCGAAGTCAAAGACAAAGACAAAGGGAAAGGGAAAGAGAAAGGGGGTGGCCCCAATCATTTTGTCCTATTCGGACACACATTCTACAAAATTCTAGCACATGGTGCTATATGACCTCATGCTACAGAGAACAAAATTCTTAGCTCTTGCTAGATCGGCGGCTCAAGTGAAAAAGAAAGCGCGAGGAAGATCGCAGATCAGGCACTCCGCATCAAGCGCCCTCCAAGCGGAAATTTTTCCAAGTAAAAAAGCTAGAGATGGGATTAATGAAATGATAATCGAGAAGTGATTTAATAAATACGATCGGAAGGTGAAACCGTTACAAGCTAAAGCCCGACTAGTTGGATAAAATGGCCGATATAGTGCGTGTAGGAATTGTTTTTGTCAGCCTTTTAATTCGGAAAAAACTTCAAGAACGGTTAAACCAGAAAAAAAGGAAAGCGAGACGGATGTGGGTCAGGAATTGGATTTCAAAACGGGACACACATGGGGCTTCTAATATTTTATTAAGACAATTAAAGGATGAAGATCCTGTGGCATATAGGAATGTTTTGAGAATGAGCAATGAACAGTTTAATGTACTATTACAAATGGTTGACGAAACAATCCGCAAAAAAGACACAAAAATGAGGATGGCGATTCCAACTGCTACAAAACTAGAAATAACCCTACGCTTTTTGGCAACTGGTGATTCGTTCAAATCACTAGAATATTTATTTCGAGTGCCTGAATGTACAATTTCATTGTTTGTATCCGAAGTACTTGCAGCAATTTGTCAGGTCCTAAAGCCATATATAAAGGTAGGTTTAATTTAAGTATCAATTTATTTTTAACACAGTACTTATACTTATAAAACAAAATATTTTTATAATTATATGAAAAATAGAATCTATTTCATTGAGAAACTTCTTCTACTATTTCAAACTCTGCCCCCGAAAATGTATTTAATAGTGCTTAATGAATAACATCGTTACCATAAACGCTATCTTTGTCATTTTGCACATTTGCTTCATATGTTGCTGATGAGGCAGGGCTGGGATCACTGGGGGAGGATAACGGTGAAAAAGTTTGCACTTGAAGGGGCTCTCTGTAGTAATTATTTAGTTGATTATCATTTCCCAAACACATTAGCTTTACACGTGTAATAGAATTCTGAATTTCTTGCTGCAATAAAATAGCCTCACGTTGGGGTAATTGACGCAGCTCTGCAGCTACATACTTTCCAAATTCGTCGTACGGTTTTCCTTCTGATACATTTTCAGCTATTTTATTCAACTGACTGATTGCATCGCCAATTTCTGTGTCTGCCTGTTTTCTCACCCTTTTTTTCGATTTAGGGGGTCCCATCCCCTCTGAGGGTTTTATATTTTGTTCCTTGGGCTGTGTATCGGGTTCTTCATCGTCACGCTGTTCAATTTGAGAATTTGAGATTTCCTCAGATATATTTTGTGTGCTGGGTAGAGTCTGAAAAAAATTAGAACAAATTTGTAAAGATTTTTAAAGAAGAAAGATTTAAGAATTGAACAAATTTTTTAAATCATATTTTTTTCTTGCAGATGCCTTCAACAAGCAATGAATGGAAACAAATTCAATACAATTTTTTCCTTCGTTGGAATTTCCCAAGATGTTGTGGAGCAATTGATGGCAAGCATGTTCTGATTAAAAAACCTCCCAAGTCTGGGTCAATGTACTTTAATTACAAAAAAACATATAGTATCGTGTTATTCGCAATGGTGGACGCAGATTATTGCTTTACTTACATTGATATTGGAGCAAACGGCCGAGCTAGTGACAGTGCAATATTTAGAGACAGTACTTTGAACATAGCAATGCAAAATAACACACTTAACATGCCTGAAAATTCGATCATTGTTGGGGACGATGCCTTTCCATTGAGAACCAAGTTAATGAAACCCTACAGTAAGTCACAGCTTAATAATACTGAAAGGATATTCAACTACCGACTCTCTCGCGCAAGAAGAGTATCGGAAAATGCATTTGGTATTCTTGTGTGGCGCTTCAGAATATTTTCAAGACCAATTCAATTAAAAGAAACTACAATTGACAATGTTATTTTGGCAGCATGTAGTCTCCACAACTGGCTGAAAAAAAGTAACCCAAATACTTATTTTCCTGAAAATGCCGTGGATAGAGAGGATCTTAACACGGGCAATATTACTTTTGGGCAATGGAGAAACCACGTGAATAATCTGCCAACGGTTAGTCATTTGGGAAGCAACAACTACAAAAATTCTGCAGAGGAAGTAAGACGCAAATACGCTAAGTATTTTATGGAAGACAATCCTTTACCGTGGCAATGGAAAAAAGTGGGATTGGAATTAGCTTGAACAATTTTTATATTTTTAAGTGATTTATTATTTTTCAAATTAATTCTGCTCAAAGTGTTAAAGAAAATTTAACTTTATTTGTTATGTATAATTTGCTTAAGTATGAATAAAAAATATATAGCTCTAAAATCTCCTTACCAAGTTTGAATTACTATGCCTTGTTGACAAAACTTCAGCGAAAAAATGGGCAGCTTCAAATCATGTTAGCTTTGGGGTATAAATATCCTCTGTTCCACAGCCACTTTTTTTGCTTCGTTCTATCTTGGCCAGTTCTTGACGAAACACATCTTTTAAATTCTTTATTTTGTTTTTTAGTTGTTTTTCGTCCATTCCTTTTAAAAGCCCTTCATCTTCTAATTGCTCCCACATTTTCTTGAATAAAACATCTTTGAGTTTGATATTAACGTAATCTTTGTGTTTTATATTCCATAAAACGGGAAATTGTTCATAGACTTTTAAGAACCGTATAATTTGATTACTGTTCCATTTAACAGCCATTTTAGATTCTATTATCGCACAAAAGATACAAACTAAACACTTTTCAAAGGTTCAATACGATGCGAGTAAAGCGATTTTACTAGCGCTGTGTAATTTGCGCTCGCTGAGCATGTTCTACTCGCTCACTCGCTACTCGCCGGCGATCGGCTACTAATCTCGCCCTGTGTAATAGATGCTTATGCACCTAAGCATTGCCGTTACCAACAGTAATGCCATCTCTGAAGCAGATTTTACATTACATCATAGCCAAACATTGATAATTGAAGCCTCTTGACGTTTAGCCAACACGTACAACTACAAAACGAGATCACAACTTATCTATCAGCTAGTGCTAAGCTAATATCTTGTAAAAAATCAATATGGTGTTAAAAAAAATCGACATAATTTTACTTTTCAATCACACTGTTGTGGACTTACGTTACGTTACGGAAATATGTATCCCATAAACATACGAAAAATTTGCAAAAAGAATTAAGGAATAAAAAAATTATATGTTTAAAACATTTTAGACACGCCTTCGTCATGTTTGAGACAAATTAGTTAGAGAAGTATCTAAGAATTTCGGTAGTTATAGTTTTGTAAGTAAACCCTGTGTTTATTTTTCGTTTCTCATTTTGGAAAAAACACGCTTATGCGTAATAATACGCGAGAAATAGTAAATTTCATGATGCGCTGAACTGACGTCGAGAAATAGTACTTTACATACCAAGGTTGAGAAGCGCCTATGGATATAATGTGTTTGATTTTTTTTCACTACTGCTACTATTATCACATTTGTTTTTTTTAAGACTCAAATATCTATGTATAGTGCTTGACCACAGACAGACTACACTGATAATGAGGTTTCCATAATTCATTTTACAAATAAGAAAGCAGATTTGGCCTAAAGATGTATAAGGTTTATTTATCAAATATAATTAAGTTGGCAGAGTACAATTTTTAACGATAATAATGTTTATTTTCCTAGGCATTTTTTGTTATCATTACATATCTAGGGAGAGAAAAACTACTTCTCAGTGGGGCATATCAGCCAATAATGGTGATTTCTTCCTTGCTTCGGATATCAGTGAAAAAATATTTTGTTTCTAATTATCATTTACAACTGGTAACTGACGGTAATAGTTAAATTGCAACTTGTAATTGTCAACTGAACGCTATGGAAGCTACGTTGTGGGTACGCCTATGGCAAAGAACCAACCATAGCGCCATGGTTACCGAACCAGCTGTATAACTGGTTGCCTAGCTGTCTATTCACCTTCCGTGGAATCAAAACAAGAAAACCCGATATGGAAGAAGATATTGATCACCAAGCAGTATACAGGTGAATGTTGTGAGGTAGGTTTATTTTCCGTTCAGTTATCCTAACCTACAAACTTTTCATTTGAAAATGTTGACTAAAAAACCTTTTAACTTTCACAATTTGTAGTTTTGTGCGTGCCCCCCCTTAACCCGGAAGTTTTTTTGTTTCGTTCGTTACACTGTTTGGCTTTTTGTTGTTATTAACAAAATGATCGTGACCAGGACACCCCAAGAATGTTTTTCTACTAATGTAAGTATTAATTTTCATCTTATGGCTTTTTTACAAAGAAATTACTACAGAGAGTTTCCTTTAAAGCAGATTATATTGTAGTAATTTTTTTCTAAGCAATACATCTTATCGAAAACCGGCTTCCGTCATCCACTTCCTTGTAGGTGTAACATTTTTAACGTAGCCTATTGCTACATAAGGAAAGTATTCTTGTGCCGCTAAGCATTATTTGTAATAATTGTTACAGAACATACATTAGAGATGAGGTGCGAAGTGCTTTTATTTTTGAGCGCAGCATTCGTAGAAGCTTATTGATCTATTTATGTCCTGTGAGTGCCATTCACCTCAGTGATATTTCTACCGATTTTTTCTCAAGTGCGAAATAACCAGTTTCCTAAATATTGATAACGAACAAATTAGTCACATACGCTGTAAATGCGGGTGTGTGTAAATAACACGCATAACTTTCAACAGTTTTTATTACTAAATGAGCGTTTATTTTTAGAAAGTTACCTCATGCCGTGATACCCAGATGGTACAAAATGATAATGAATACGACTTTGAAAAGCCCGTTCGAAATTATTGAGCGGTGCATTTAGTTACATCAAAAAATAAATTCATTTTATGTAGGGCGAATATTAGGTACTAGCTATAATTATTTTCCAAACTCTGGCAACCGTTCAAACAGTCGCGATACCTGCTTATTCATGCTTTTACTTATTATGAGGGGAGAGTTGGTAGAATCGCACAAATATACATGGCGTTAATGAAGTATTTGGCCAAACTTTCAGGGGTGATTCATTACAACATTCTAGGGAGAAAAGTTTATATAAACAGACGTGGTTATGGCTTTGTTTAAATGCGATTCCGTAGCTTCATCCACGGGAATTCATCACGATCACTGTTGCTGAACCGAAAAAGACGAAATCAGTAGATGGTGTCATTGAAATTCGGCAGATTCAAGGACAAAGTCGGTAGGAGCAAGAAATCAGGGCCGTCACAACATCGATGGTGGATCAAGAGACTTTGCATCACGTAGTTCTCTATGAAAAAAGTATATTCACAAGTAACACAATTTTTATTTGAGGGCATTTCTTCCTGAAACAACTCATAAGTTCTTTATTACAACTTGTACAATGAACATACTGGACAATCTTCAAACTCCTTTGCAACCATCATTCTGAATATTGTTCTGTTTCAATCCTGACATTTTAATTTAATATTCAATCAAATAGAGTCGAGCTTTGGTTTCCTTATTGCTGTCTGGTGATGCGATAATGATGGTGATCTACCAGTGTACACGTGTTGTACCGTTACCTCCACAAATACCAATACAGGGAGAGCAGGATAACAGATGTGCTTACATAATTGTAGGCAACCCAAATCTACGTCCCTCATGTGCCCGACTGCTCAAGTGTGACTAGTTGGGGCATAAAACTACATAGACTAAATTTTTAGCTTTATTTTTGGTTCCAGCTCTTTTTCGGCAAAACAATCTAAAAATATCTGGATTATTTTTAATAAATCGAGGAAAATGTGGACGTTTTCGGTATTTTGGTGAATAAGGTCTCATTTCGGTAGAAATACCGCAAAATCGCTATTTTCGGCAACACTCAGTCAGAATAAGTGGATCAGTGCCCAGGGTTTAAATCCGCTACATTTTTTCTTTTGAAGGATTTGTGTTTCATTGACGTCTTTTTCGTAATCTATTTATATCTATGCCCTAAATTCCACAAATCTGAATCGAATAATTATTGATTTTTTTTACGAAAATGTATTAGTTCATAAAAATGACATGTATGTTGATGCATTATCGGACCTATACGATTCTTTTAAAGTACTTCGAAAAAGACCCCGTGTTATTTTTTATTATGTAGTTCATTTCAGCAAGTCTAAATTAGGTGCAATGATATTGATGCACTATCGTTCAAAATGGCATACTAGCGAGCGGTCAAAGTCCCCAGACTCCAGACTATAGAAAATCGACGTTGTGAGACTTGCAGCAGCGACAGTACCTTTGTTGTCATTTGGGGATTAGAAATAAAAAAATCTTATATTTTAGCCAGCCTTCATTGATTCATAAAATAACGTAAAATGACTATCGTATTTAAATGCAACATACCGAACGATAAAACCTTCCTTATTTAATAAGCATGATATCATATGGTTATTATAAGAACGATATCTTGACAGCGATATCCATTTTATTGATTGAATGCACGTTTGTTTTAAGAAAAAATGTGGCTTCTAAGATAATTATGATGCAAGCGAGATGATTCAGTACGACGAGTAAGACCATACGTGCAGCCGAAGTACCGATCGACTAAACATGTTTGTAGTCTAAAAGTGGTGTCAAACAGATTGACTCGGTGCTTCCGGATTCCCGATTTGGCGCATTCAAAATGATTAGTTGTAACTAATACATATCTAACATCTTGTATAACAAAAGGAAAGCCGCAGAACAGCATCACAGTTATAATAAACAATGAGTCACTGGAAATAGTACCAAACGTAAAATTCTTAACATCATTACTAATTCATGTGAAATCAACACCTTCCAAATTTACTTACCTAAAAGAGTCCCAGACATACAAACTAAGGCATAATAATGTTACATATCACAACTATAGCCTCAGCTCATACCGTAATAGTCCTGACTACTTATGCGGATATATCATCAATAATTTGCCTTGAGTTAAAAACCATCAACGACTTGAAACTCTTCAAGAAACAACTTTTAGCATTAGGTATTTTACTCTAAGTGTTTTTACTTATTATACATTTATGTTGCATACTTTTTCTATTCTTTATCTATTTATACTCCTAAACAAACATAATTTTTTTGATACTTATTTTATAGCGTATCACCTATTTTTTTATTGTAATTAAATCATGTATATTTTTCCTTTACTTATGTAATTCAGACCTTTTCCTATTGACGTTTCATATCCGCAAAGCAATTTGTATAAAATATATTATTATTATTATCACAAACTTCAAATTTCACCCTTTTGCCTCTCACATGTTCACCTTTCCACAATTCTTTCAAAAACTAGGACCTTCAGAAAACATTCAAACAATGGGTCTTTCTTGTTCTTGGTGACGATAATCCTACCACCACAGAACCGATTCTCAAAAACTAAAGCTCTTTGATCCTTGACATGGTAGTGGTATAGCTCAATATTCCACCAACAAATTCAGTTTCTATACCAAAATATCTAGGATTTCAGGAAATAACGTAAAGACCGATTTTATATTCTTGAAGATGAGTGGAAATATATAAAAATATTTGCCTGGGTAACTTTTTAATTCAAAGACCTGTTTAAGTTTCTGCAGTGTTTTT